TCGATTCAATCGTTCGGAAACACGAGCATCGGCGAAGACAAGACGAATATTCGTAGGTGTATAAATATAGTATTGTTTTTCGTAAAAACGCGAGGTCGTATTGGTTTGTCTCGAGAAAAAAAATCGTTTTTCTCTTCTCGTATTATTAGTTTTGCGCACGTTCAATTTAATAATCGCCCCGGAGGAGCCGGTCGCGTATCCCGTATATAATAAAAGCCCCTTTTTCGTCCGACCTGCAAGATAAATGCGTTTATAGGCAAAAAATACTACGAGGTGTCCAATAATAATAATAATAATAATAACAATAATAATAGATAGGTAGGTACCAATAAATATTTTCCGCCTCGATAAAACCGCATTATGATAAGTGATTCGAAGGGTATTTGCCTATATTTTACCACGAACGATTAATATAATTGTATTGAACGTGTGCCTATCAAAATGGCGTCCAGTTTTTGAAAATTCGACAAGGAATTAAAAAAAGAATTCGCCAAATCCAAAGGTTTTAAACCCACCTCGTATTATATTCATTGTACTTTCGGGTTTTTAACATTAGCGCGCCAAGACAGCTCGGGGCACAGCACAATCGATTAACTTTTTTTTTACCATTCTTGGCATTTTTTTTTTTTTTTTATTTTCTACTTCTTCTTTTCATATTGACCCGCCTTTCCCATCTTCTTTTAATAAATTAGTAGGGATATTTTTATACAGGTATACCCGCGCGTTTTCCTTAAATATTTCAGGAATTTAATACATTAGTAAAAGATTGCGATTTTTCAAATATTAACGCGCGATAGCCACACAATTGAACGATAAAAAAGACAAACCTATTATTATTAGATATATATATATAAATACATATCTGTTACATACTGTTAAACAACATATGTGTTGTTAATTTGTTAATCCATAATTTATAAAATGATAAAAAATAAATTTTGAATAATTTGAGTTTTAATTATATCGCAATCGTATATGTACATAAAATAATATTATTATTTAGCCGGCGCTAATAATAAGGTCCCATCGTATAAGACACATGTGAAATTCAACAGTCATATTGACATTACAAGCATGAAGCGGAAAATTGTTTGTACTAATTACTATACGATAATATTTCGTTTATGCTATTTATACGCAGAGAGTAAAAACGCGTAGAAAAATTATGTTTTTAAATTTTTTCGTGTAGCATTTTACACGTTTCAGACATTTAAGTATCTCATTTTAAAGATTTCACTACATCAATCAAGCCAATTGAATTGATTTTTTCAACTACATATTGCTGGGCGTTTTTTTTATTATTTAAATTTTATTTAGGCTATAGATGCAACTTATAATATTTTCACACAGGTAATTGAATAAATATTATTAAAAAGTGCACATATATTTACGAGTTTTAATGCACTTAACTACATTGTGTAAAAAAAATTGATTTATTGTCATTATTTTATGATTTAAATAATTCATAAATTAAATCGGAGGGGGAGGGGGGCCATAAGTCTCTTGCCTATCTATGTTCTTGCCTAAATTTAATTTGTATACAAACATTAATTTATTGATAATAATGCACGTAATGTTACTCAAAAATGTTATTACTAGGGGTCTAACGATTATGAAATAATAACGAACAATGATAATATAGTATTTTGACAATAATAACATGGCTTTCAGATTTCACACACGCACAAGAAAGTAATGTTTTCGATTTTTTTCGAGTTGCACGTTTCGGCGAAATTTTTTCGAAAAGGTTTTTACTACATACTTTTACGATCGTACCTCGTAAAGTTGAATAACCTATTCGTTATTGATTTTCATTTATTTGTTATTGATTCATCTTCATACGGGTTATATAGTAATGAAATCAACTAGAAAATTATCTATTTTTCAATCGGAAAATTGTAAAAATTGAATGTAAAATACTCGGTATTGATTATCACAATAATTTCCGCCTGATATGCAACGTCTGATAAGATTTGTTTTGACAAAATGAAAATGTAACAAAAATCGTTAACAATTTCAACACCGTATGTATAGTAAATAGTTATTAGAATTATTCAGACGATTTTATACTGTATTGCGGTACACATTAATATTCGGTGAAGTGGAAAAAGCTTTTATTTGAGAAATCGTGGTCACCGGTTTAAAAATAAAGTAAGTCTTTTTCCTTCTTTTTTTTTATGATTAATTTTTATTGCATCGTCGTGAAATATTTCAATTGTATTCTACGTGCATTTTATTGGTGACGGTATTTTTTATCCAATATTATTGAATTGAACTCGTCAAACGAATAATAAAGGCGAGAAAAATATATAAATATAATAATCGGACCATTCGAAATGGGAAATGATGTTTACGTGGACAGGTTTTTTAAAGATATATCAGGTGTAACACTCGTAAATGCAGCCGTTAAAACAATATTTTACGAATATATATATATATATATATATATTATTTAACGTGCGGAGACGAAGCCGATATCTGCTCCTGCGCGAACGATTTTTTTTATCCAAGAGGCAAAATAAAAACACTGTCAGCTCGATAGTGGGTTCTATAATGGGTTGTATATTATTCGGGGTGATAATCACCGATTTTTTTATATAACTATAATTTATAGTCTTCACAGTATATACAGATATAGGTTGTCAACCTTATAACCACGGACCGCGCATAATGAGAAAAATAATAGGTTGACATTGAACAAAAAGGATAAAGAACTAGTGGTATGACTAATCATGGACAAAATAATAAACCAATATTTTTTACTCGATGATATTTATACTAATGTAGTTTGAAATTTGACATTATTATCATCAATTTTCAGTCAAACAACTAAAAAAAAAAAAAAATTTGGACAGATCGGGGGAAAATATTCCGCAAATATGACTGTAACAGAAAACATAGAGAATACTGTCTCTTAAGAATAAACTTATTTCATCCTTACTTAAAAATTTTATCTTGTTGGTGCTTCGAGTCGGCTATTTTTTTATTTCCCTTATAGTTTTCTTACTAATGAGGAACACCCGTCAAAAAAATCATATATTTTACACAATGAAGGTTTTTTTTGACATTCAGTTAAAAATAATCACGGAGACCAGATATTTTCACCGCGTACATTAACGCTTTCTGCGACGTGATAAAATTTTAAAAACACCATTCTGATGATTATTGAGCCTGCCATAGGCATTCGATATTTTCGATTTTTTTTAATTTTCATTTGGCTGTATGTGGATAATATTTCTATACGATCTAATTTAGTGAGTGGCTACATCTATCCATAGTTTCTCAATATATTATTGTATAACTTTAAAATTGTTTTCTCGTTTACGTGAACAAATTTTCGGTCAAAAAAATATAGTTAGGTATTTGGTTTCAATTGAAAAATGTATGGAAAACAATTATTGGAACCGACTTTTGTTTACAGAAATTTAGTTTTCACAATGCAATCAATACGTTTTTTATTATCTATTACCGTTGTCATTTTTATTTTTTCTTAAAGAAATAGATAGATTTAAATGGAATTTAAATTTTGTATCCATACACATTAAACTGTATTTTACACATTAGTTGGTACAATTTTCGATTATCTATTTTCGTTTCAAAGGATAATGTTTTTACTCTTTAGAGAAATTACTCGTTAAATATCGGTTTTCCCTTTATTCGCCCACATAATAATTATAATAAATAGGTAAAATATGCTAAAATATTGAGCAAACACAAAATTTAGTTTATATTCGTATTTCTTGCGTTATATATTGCAGACGTGCATTTTATTCGGGTTATATAATCGCGTTAACCTTACTCAAAAAGTCATAAGAAATATAATATAATATACATTTATATATTGTTCTAACGTGAAAATCCTCAGAGATTTAATACAAAAAAAAAAAAAAATCGACAGTATGATATCTTTACAGACTTCACTATATTATAAAGACATCAGACGTCGACTACAATTTTCCGGTTACTTTGTTCACCACACTAGTGTGTTTTTTTTTTTTTTTATATTCGCTTCTCTTTTTAAACTGCTACGTGGCAGCGTACCATAAAAATGTATCTACAATATTATGAACCTGCATAATATAATTTTGAGTATTTACTAAAGTAATTATTGCACATGAACTGGTCGAATCGTTTTGTGCGTCTGATAATATATGTTGACGAATGTGTTGTTCATTACAATTTATTCGTTCTGTAATATTAAAACGCATTTGTTTGTATGTGTGTTTCAGGGTAAATGACTAAATCGAAGACAACAAAATTAAATCAATAGACAACAATTCTCACAAAAAGGTAAGTTATATAATAGTATAAGTTTACAATAATATTATATTATAATCAGATTATGATTTGTTGATGACTGAGAAGAAAAGTACCAAATACAAAAAAAAGAGCTGATAGTGGGGATGGGAGCGATCACTGTTATATGCGAGAAGATGAGAAGGTAGCATATATAAGGTTATTTCATTTATATCTATAAGCAACGATAAACTATTGATTGACGAAAGACGATTCTGAGCGCAGTTTAGTAATACATAATTTTAAGTGATGTAAGTTTTGTTTTGGTGATTTTCGTTAAAATTTGATTTCAAAACGCTTATTAAAAAAAAAAAAAAAAGTCGTCCAATAATTTGGAAATTTTACTACGTCTAAGTAGGTCCAATATAAGTATAATTATCAAGTTTCAAGTTTTTACGAGTGTTTATAACCGAATTACAGCAAAAAAACTCTACAATAATTAAAATTACTTAAAAGTTTAAAAATAGCTCAAAAATTTTGGAAATGATACCGTAAGAAAGTAAATTAAAAAGGCAACAAAAAAGGTAAATTGTGGTTTTTCGATTAAATCACTTTTTCTAATAGAAAACGTCGTCCTTGTCTTTATAAAATACATAATAAAATCGTGAAATTGTACGTTTCCTACGTTTTTTTCCGCTTAAGAGCTTTCATCTAAAAATGGCTTTAAAAATCAAAAAAAAAAAGATTCTTTTAAATACAATCTAGACAACTTGAGCTTTCAAATAAATTTCTACATTTAAAATTCGGAGCTAGTGTACTAGGAAAAAACGTGTCCACAGGCTAGAACAAAGAAAGAAATAAACAGCATTGTAATACCAATAGCTCCCACGCTACGCTTGGAATCTAAAATGCTTTGATCGTCTAAATTCTAATAACGACTTAACAAATTTACAAAAACGTATTTTCGATTAAAGTCAATATCGTGTACAATTAAATTGAGTGGGGACTTAATAAAAAAAGCTCTCAAATAATGATTAGCAAAACTCCGTCTCTAAATTTCATTTTTCCTCCACCCCTTTTACCCTCCCCTAATATCCAATTGTCTATCTGTGTCTACTTTCAGTTATAAAAACTATCATAAACCTTACAACTAAAGTTTTAACTGCTATTATACAGACGGTAGGGGTAATGGTTGAAAGTTTAATCCTTGTTAAGGAAAATCTCTAATAATAATGTTATTTAAATGCATAAATTTTAACTCCGTTATTTACTTTGATGAGTCTATAGGGGTATTTAAAATCCAGTATTTCCTGTGAAAATATGAAATATGATTATAATAACAAATTGAAAGAGAAGGTAAAATGTTGAACCACGAAAAGACCTATACTTGATAAAAACACAATGCATATCTATACACAATTTCATCCACCTGGCTTCATTTGCGGAGTGTATAGAAGTGTTAAAAATCACCCTTCACCTACAACAACATGGTTAAATTCAAATTGAAATTTAACCAAATTTTTATCATTTGTACGCTTTGGCAAACTTTTATCACTTCAGTTCACCTAAAAAATAGCTCTTGATTTCGTAATCTGTGCTTATTTAACCCATAGGGAACCATTAAAAATGTTCAACAGTAGCAGGAAAAATATAACATTAATGTATATATACACAACGCATACAGAACAGTACTATTTTCGAGGAAATTTAACGATTTAATGAACCCATACAAACTAAATTCGTTAAAAAAAAAAAAAAACAAGCATAAAAAATTTAAGAACGATGTGTGTGTGTTTTTTTTTTTTTTATGAGGTAAAATACTGGTACAAATATTACATCACGCATAATCACGTCAGCAAGTACCAAAATAGGAGTCGTAAATTATATTACCAACGAATTCTCGGTTAACGATTTATCCGGATTCCCAGACTATGTCTACGTGCGTATTATTAATCATTGAATATTGTATTATACCTAGGTACGTCTTATCTATACCTATATTGCTGGCTCGTTCCTGCGATAATAAGCCGTGCGACTGTTTCCCAGATGCTTTTGGAATTCTGCCATCATCGTGCACGTTCTTAAATATTATAGTTTACCTTACAGTTATCCCGTATTAACATAACAATAATGACGATGACAATGGCCATAATAATAATAATAAATCTCTGTTTCAGCATGTCGAATACTTATTAGATATCTGTGATACCATTTGTTTGTAAACGATATGAAACATCATACTTTGATATTCTACCGCGGTTATCGTGTACACCAACAATCTAGCCTAAAGGGCTTTGCATTTTTAAACTGAGCTTTTAAGAAGCAATCCCATCTGAAGGTTTGTAAATAACTTCACGATCCGAAAATCCGTCAATATCCCCCCAATCTCAGTTGTTATATATGTAGAATATAGAAATGAATTCCGACGACCTAAAGCAAAAAATCGCCTCACCACATTCTGTCCATTTTGCTAAAACTTTACTAAACACACTATTCGAGTGAACAATATTAAAAATAGACCGGTTATCCTCAATTAACCAACTTCCGAATCTAAATTATAAACCACATTAAGATATTGTATCATCTCTAGAAATGGTCCGTCTCTATTACAGGGTATAACAAAAAACAATGATATTAATCACATTTCTTAAGAGAACGGACAAAATCATAATCTAGAAAAAAATACAGATAGATATACTTGCACCAGTTTGTGCAGTATAAAATTGTAAAAAAGGAAAAAAAAAAGGCTACTATAAGAGTTATATTTAAGCTTTATAATATTTAGCATTTGGGATAAAATGTCAGGTTTTTCCTAAATTGTAAATTTTTAACGATATTACAAAAAAAGAACGGACATACTTTGCACATGGGTACAACCACTTTATAGGTTGAAAGTCGGGAAAGTAAGATACATTCGGGAATTTAATGTATTCTGTAATCATCGAAAAACCATTGCTAAATAAAAAACGATTTTGAGCTGAGTTCAGTAGTGTTGTTTTATAAACAATATATATGTCATATTATCATTGTAAAATGATTAAAACAATGTGCGTTTCCATGATAACAATAGTTGTTTAAAAAAGATTTAAAACAATAACAATAAATAAACAAAAACGATTGCCAATAGCAATGATAAACATCATTATAATACCAATACATTCTTCACAGCACTCAGAATCTAAAATAAAAAACAAAGTAGCAAATAATGAAACCATTTTTTCGTAAACTTACCCGTTATTCCTACGTTTTTCTTGAATTTTCATAAATATTAGGAAAAGTGAAAGGAAAACCGAAAAAATTACCACATTAATGTACTAAATAGGGCCGAAATTTTACAAAAAACTGTCCTGTCGATTTTAATTCACGCAAAATTACCAGTATAAAAATTATTCATAGACAAAAATAAATAATAGAAACACATCATGGTAAAACCAATACATGTTTTGTTGCACTCAGAAAGTAAAACAGCTTTCAGTGCAACTCAGTTAAAATACGTTTATTGATTTTTTAAAATTCAAAGTTGTATTTTATTGTTAGGAGACGGGGACAATTCGTGGGAAATATTATAAAATGTTTTAAATAAAATGCTGAACGAACATTTTTGCATATTTAAGTTAGATACTTCATAAAGAAAATCGGCGTATTTTTTAACCGATAAAGTGTTTTTTTGAAAAAAACAAACCTATCGTTAATAATAATAATGTCATCGCTACATAATAGTGCTTAGAAAAAAAAACATCAATCGAAATGTTTGAAATGTCGATAGAAATCCACATATTTTGAGGATAAATTTAAATTCCCCCCCCCCCAAAAAAAAAAAAATCGATACTCACGAGTTTGATATCATATTTGTTATATCATATGCTCAAATTTTAATTACCAGCTGAATGAATAGTAACCATGAGGTAATCAATCAGCCAATATTAAAAAAAAAAAACTTTGAAGAAATTTCCCACGTGATGCAGGTCAACAAAAAATACCAATAAATTCAAGCAATCACTCTATAGACATGGTCGGTATGAAAAAAAAAAAAATCTGAACAATTTGAAACTTGAAATGAATCGATAAAACAATAGCAGAAAACATCGCATTTTCTAAAAAAAAAAATACGTGACGAATGCTTGAAAACGGGTAAAATAGTCATAATCATTCTTACCGGCCATCATGTTAAAATTAGCGAAATTATTATAATCTAATAATAAGTTGTTGAGCGTAAGCCGAAAAAATACGCAGGAAAATAATATTCCGTAATATTATTTTCGTGGAATAATAAAAACTAACAGTATCCAAACCAGCAAGTGGGTCGCTCCGGTGACAATTCGACAACTCCGACTATTAACCGACAATAAACCAGCAAATCCGTTGTGCGAAACCACGTCGGGCCGGTGACACGGAAAAAAAATGCGATATTCAAACGTCCGAGTTTGGAAGTAGGTAGCAGACATGTTTTGGAAATCAATGGTTGTTACGTTCTCGTGTTTTACGCGTCCCTACGACGCCCATTCGACGGTATCCGGAAACGTCTTAATCGTCGGTTTTTAATCACGCCGGTTTATCACGTTGTTATAATTATTTTACGAATATCGAGGTTCCGACAACGGCGAAAAACGATTGTGCCATACGATACATAATTATTTTGATCTGATAGCGCAGGTTATATTTATTGCCGCGCGTTTTAATTAGACGTTTTTGCCGTGCGTGTATCCCACACGATATGCGCCTACTTGAGCGCCGGAAACACGAAACAAACTTCTGTCCCGCTACGCATTGCACAATCTGCTGCCGTCCTACCGTCAACGCTGTATAATTATTTTAATATTAGGTATATAACGGTAGCGGTACAATAGACGAACGATACGATTCAGACGTCCGACCCCGACGTCGCAGCGCGATTAATTATTATTACCGTACGCGAACACATATAATTAGGTATCCGTACCGTTGTCCCCGGTACGCATTGTAATAGATACGTTTCTGTTTTCGTATCCACGTTCTGTTCACGGAATGACGAGACCTCGAAATCGGTATACGGTTATTACGGTTTTTTTTACGAGTATTTAGCCGTTTGCCGAGCGTTTGATGGACAGCGTTAGTATTGAAAAATAACTGTGTAACACAAACGGGTTAAGCGTTTCGCCGATCACCCGCGGAATTTGAAAAACTCTTCGTATACTACATATTGCATAGGTAATTCGAAATTCTTAATTCTTTATTCTGATGAATTTTCCCGCCCCCGTAATTGTTTCTGCATACGTGCCCGCGGGAAAATTTGTTCGTCTGGCACGTGACGTAATAAAGCAACAAAAGCATTTTCCGCGCTTCCACGAATGTGACGCTTTGATTGAGTTCAGGTCAAAGAGACCCATTATGAGATGCGAACCAATGCCAATAAGCCAATATGTTCGGCTCCGAACTATTTATGTAATAACAACCTTTAGGGTTTTGGATCGTTATGCCATCCTATAAAGCACTGCTATATTAACGCAGCCGTGTTGTTGCAATTTTAGCTACTCTTCTTCACAAATATTCCGTGTCCACCAGGGAATTGCAAATTTTCAATAATTTGTCCGTTTATTTCCGTTGGCGGCTTTTAATCAGTGCTGTTGTACTAGTGAGTAGAAAAAAAAACGTATAATATACGATTCGCTGGTAAAACATAGCGTAAACAAAATGATGTTTTGTATTGTTACGGTAAAAAAAGAAAAAACAACAAACGCATCGAAAAGCGCGTTAAAAGTTGTGATTTCGAAAGAGAAAGAGAACTTATACGAACAGTTGGCTTATTAAGTTATTTACTTCGTTTACACCACGACGCGGCACCACTAATCTGGACTTAGTAAGATTAAGGCAAACGGCTTTAAAAGTATCATAAACGAACCTGCGGATTAACGCTATCGGATTACATAGTCAATCCAACAACTTAATCCGGGTTGATTAATGATTAATATTATATTATATAGTTTACATATACACATATGGTTTATATTTTTTCGGCGTGCTTAAACGTCATGAATACGAAGATAGCGAAAAAAAATTAGGTTTTACAGGTTATTTTAAATTCCGAGAGGAGTGAAGAAGCTTATACAAGCTAGTTTTACAAAGATGTTTATTTTTTAGACTCTGAGCGTAGCGAGAGAGCTATTGGTTTTACAATGCAGTTTATTGTTGCCTTATTTGTTCTAGTCTGTAGGCACGATTTTTCCTAACAAACTTACTCCGATTTTTACACGTAGCAAATTTTCTGAAAGCTCAAGTTATCTAGACGGTCTTTTAAACAGTTTATTTTTGATGCCGTTTTTTAAATAAATGCACTTAAGCGGAAAAAACGTAGGAAACGTACAATTCACGATTTTGATTTTTAAAAACACGGACGACGTTTTCTACCAGAAAAAAATGATTTAATCGAAAAACCACAATTTACCTTTTTTGTTGCCTTTTTAATTTACTTTCTTACGATATCATCGCTAAAACTTTTGAACCATTCTTAAACTTTTAAGTAATTTTAATTTTTGTAGAGTTTTTTCTGTAATTCGGTTATAAATACACGTAGATACTTGAAACTTGGCAATTATACTTATATTGGACTTACCTAGATGTAGTAAATTTCCAAATCATTGGACGACTTTTTTTTTTTTAATAAGCGTTTTGAAATCAAATTTAAACGAAAATCGCAAACAAAATTACGGCACTTAAAATTATATATTACTGAACTGCGCTCGGAATCGTCTTTCGTCAATCAATAGTTTATCGTTGCTTATAGATATAAATGAAATAACCTTATATATGCTACCTTCTCATCTTCTCGCATATAACAGTGGTCGCTCCTATCCCCAGTATTAGGTCTTTCTACTTAAAACTTCTTTTTTTTTTTTTTTTAATCTATGTGCAAATTTTCAACCAGAAGTCTTCCCGGGAAATTTTTTTTTTTTATAATTCGCTTATTCAGTTCGTTAAAATGTTATAATATTACTTTAAAAAGATGATAATTTTTCATAGAAATTGGTTTATTTTTAAAAATAAAATGAACCTATAAAAAATGATATTTTACCTATTAGTTTTATTGTGCGTTTGATCTAAGGTAATCATTTTCACCAAAAAATATACAGTCCGTTTGGAGGAGTAAAATAATTTCTGTCTGCGTAAAGTAAAAACCTAGTAACTATATTAGAGACGATATTTTTGCTAATCATTATTAATTGCTATTATTGAAAACAAGTAATAAAATATTTTTTTGGTCTATCATATTTTCCATTGGCTAAAGTATAAAAGATGTATTTACTGAGTTTTTATCAATAATACAATCCGAAAATAACCATGTACGCTTTTCCGATTATATCTTATACACAAATGTAGACGGAAACTCAGAGTTCCAACCTTCCCACTTGTAGACATCAACTTCAATATTTGACAAACCCAGAATTACAAATACACCAGTTAATCTGTTCTCACTTGAGTGATTAATTTCACTAAATATTCAATACACCCTCATGTTCATCAAGTTATCGCAGTATTATTGGAAATGCAAAAGAAAATGTCATTAAAAATAATTCCATTTCAAAAATTGTCCAAATCGTTCTTCGAAAAGAAACTATAGTAAAACGAGTTTATGGAAGAAACTTGAGATAAATGTAAATAAGAGGTAGAGAATAAGAGGTGTTGAACAATTTCAATTTGATTATTTAAAATACATAAAGTGCCTAGGTTAAAAATACCGGATCAATAGATATTATTTTAAAAACTATTACTCAGATTAATAGTTATTGTGTTTATAATTTTGTTTACTGTTTACATTACTTTATCATCGTCATACCTCTATACCGACATATTTTTAAATACAAGTAATTTAGAATCGTGTTTTACATTTTGACTGTGATATAACCGATGATAAATTTTTATTGCAAAACCGGTCATATAAAATGCACTTATAATATTCCAGTCGACACATTTATTAATTTAATTATTTTTTATAAATAAATATATAAATCGTTTTATTTATACATTTTTTCACAATAATTATTTACGAGTATGAATATATTTATTGTCTATTTGGTTTTGTATAATTAATAGTCAATATTGTACATTAAAATTATTCTGTACTCATATATTTTAAAGTCTATTATAAACCCATTACTTATGTGTATAATTTGTGATTATTTTTTATAAGGCACAATGCACATTAATATACAATGTATGAATTAATTTACCTATAAACCTATTCATAATTTATTCCCCGAAACGGTACGTTTAGCAGAATAAACACTCGTCCAAACGGTACATAACTGTTCGCCCAAACAGTATACGCCTACTTTATTTTTTTTTTCTGTTGATTTTGGGATTATAGAGGATAAAAGGTTTATGGCATTGCATGGAATAAAAAAAACAGGGTGCCCTCAGAGTTTACGGTATATTTATATACGGTACCTATATTTAATAAATTGCCAACACAGTTCTGCATAAAAGTCGCTGTGAGGTTGCCAGCTTTTCGGTTTTTGTAATTTAAAAACATATTGAAATTGAATTTGATAAAAATGATAAGAAATAATTAGGTACCAATTCAAAATCTATATGGAAATAATTCAAATAGTTATGTGAACGAAAAGAGATAAAATACGTATGATGGTACCTTTTAAAACCATTGGATATTATTTAATAGTTATACATTATATTATATTAGTAATTTCACGGTTAATTTTAATTTATATTTTACAGAAGAATTTTTAAATGTCACAAAGACATTTTTTACGGAATCGTGGAATTCATTATAATCAGACAAAACTGAAAATAAAACGCTTAAAAACGTTTACTGCTGATATTTTCATATACGTCTTCATATTATATTATCCTTCGTATCGTTTTGCACCCACATGAGAAAAAACTGTCTGAAATAAAACTATTTCTCCCCAGACGAATACCAAACAAAAAGAATAAGCAAACGATATTATTAATTATAAAATACAAAAGTGGACAACGGTTTTTGTTGTTTTTTTTAATAAAAAAAGGCAGACGTGAATTTTTAAACACAATAATATAAATTATAGGCGGGCTATAAGTAACGACCACGAGGTTGTGAGCACGATATGGAAATATCGAACTCCCTAGGAGATCTTGTATAGTTGTGAATTGTACATTTTGTTAAAAATCGATTGACGATATTTCTGGAAATTACTTTTGAAAATGTATTCGGCAAGTATTTAGGGTGTTTCAGCGGTAGTGTAGAATTTGTTTTGTATGTCTTATGTCTGGGCCATTGAGAAAAAAAGTAAATAATATTAAATGTGTTCGCTGGACTTGTGTAAGTTAGAATCGGTTCCATATAGGATTTGCCGATGAATAATTGTATGTTGGTTGGTATGGGCAAATTTCTATTAATCAGATATTGGCCCGCTTGGATTTGTTTGCCGGCAGTTAACACGAACTCCGAGGTACACGAAGGAGGATGACCAATTATTAATACGATGTGAACGTTTGATTCTGAGTGCGCTAACGGTGGAATTGTTTGAGAACATCGCCACATATGTTTTTGAAGGATGTATGGCACTCGTGTACATTGACCGGACACCCGTATTATGGCAATGTTTGACGCCGTTCGCCTGGGGAACATAACGATGTGTGGCGGTCGAATTTGATTAATCGTCGTGGTGAGCGCTCGTTGATAATAATAATATATTATCATCATTTTGAACACTCGGTGTTCAGGACTTAGGACTACAGGACTTACCGATAATATGTCATAAACCGCAACATCAACACCGTCGTCGTCTACGGTAGGCATAGCGTAGTATTTTCAAAACGCATTACAACTGTTTGTGCATATCACACCGTACGCACGCATCGTTGTTATAATACATTATTATTATTATTATTTAAAACGTTTGTGTCAAACTGATTTTAGATTCTGAGTGTAGCGAAGAATGAATTGCTTTTAAAATGACGTTTATTTTTTTATTATTTTATCTTTTGCACACAAATTCTATCAGAAATCTCGCTCTAAATATTATCCAAATAGCACCTTTGGGAGGTCATTTTTTGATTTTCCGTGTGGTTTTAATAATATCTGGGGAAAAAAAACCAAGACATAACGTAAGAAAACGGGAAATTCACGAAAATAATGCTTTTATTATTATTTCAATTTTGTTATTCATTGTAGGTCAGTTAAAAAATAATTGTAGAGACTTAAAATTTAGACAGAAAACTTGTATTTAACTTTTCCTTTTACCTAAAAATTTTCAAAAGATTTAGTCAATTTTTGGGCTATTTATAGGCGTTTAAATTTTGTGAGTTTAATACGTCATTTTTATTCGGAATGTACTATATAGAAAAATTATTAGACTGAACAGAAATGTGTGAAAATTTAACAGAATATTCACAAACATTTTCTTTTAGAAAAAGTGCTAACATTCTAAAAGGAATCCTTAGATAGGTACTTAAGATATGCCATTTTTCGATTTTCCTAGAAGTTTTCCCAACAAACTAGAAAAATCAAGAAAAACCGGGAAAAACACACAAAAAAAAAAACGAGAAATTCAGTAAAATATTAAACAAATATTTTTAAAGAAAATATTTAACGCCTATTTAATTATTTTACCATAATTAGACATAAATATTGTTGAAAAAGCATCGTTATCAACTGAATTTAGCTCAGAATAGTTTTTTGTTAGCAACGGTTTATCGTTGCTTAAAAATATACATTAAATTACCTATAACAGTAGCTGCACCCGTTTCCATTATCCTAGGACGTCTTTTTTTTTTTTTTTGTCAAGAAAAACAACCGTTTCTTACTTACCGGATTACGCTATATTAGACTAAACACCTACCGAATATTTAAACGTTTCCGCGTAGATTTTCACGACAATTTATCATAAAAGATTATTTGTCCGCGGTACCCTGTTTGAAATCATAAGTAGAAGTACCTTTTAGTGAGTACACATTTGTTTTATAAAATTGAAAAGTAATGAATCTATAACGCTTGCGCTTCGTTAAGAGTTTGCAGAAAGATATTATTATTCAGTATAAAATACAATTTCGCGGTAAGAAATTAGTTAATAACGCTCGTTAAGTCGGAAAAAAAACGTCGATTTATATAGAATTTCTGAATTAACTTAGTTTTAAATTTTACGTATTTTACCCAACGCGTGACACCGGTACTTACATATTAATATCATATGTATCATATTATGTGACTACCATTGTGGGTCGACTAATTTACTGAAATACTCATGAGTTTCATTTTGAATAGCTAAATTAAAATAATTATATTTTAACAATACGTATACTTATATTAATACATTGATGCCACGTGTCACCATTATATGATTATAACAGAGGAATTCGTACTCGAATTTGGAATATCCGAACAAGTTACAACGGTTGAATATTTTTATCAAATACCTTACATTTTATAATTTGAAACATTTAAAGTAGTGGTGTGTTTATCTTCTTGCCGTTTCTATGCTTCGTAGTCATAGCCCCCTTTCCCCCCAAACTAAATATAAAACTAATTTTAACATTGTTTTGATAATAATAATACGTTTATACAAGTTGAGTCCATTGATCGTCCATCTAAAAATTGCCACCATTGGCTTTAGGTTACTTCGTCTGTTAGCCGGACGTTCAATTTACAATTGATTTAATGTAGAATTTCCCTCGGCCACTATAGCGCTCATACGGTATTATTTTTCGAAACAATAACGCGGGAAACAAAAACTTTGCCTTTATATAAAAACAAAATAAAAAACAAGAACGGAAAAAAGTGAAATAAATTCCGGTCTAGCTATATATACGCTGTAAAATACGCCGTAGCTTTAAAATTAAATATATATGTATACACACCCATGAGTATATACTTTTAAACATAAGTCCAATTTTTGTAATAGTAACAGTTTTCTGTGACCATTGTTTAGTACTGTACGCGACTCAGATCGATATCTACAAAAGAACAAAATCCCTATCGACGTGTATGAGCCCGGCTAGTCCGCAAAAACACTGATTACTATAAATTTGATAAACGGTGCGGCGATGTCCGTCTTAATTCTACCGGAATGACTTCTATTCCCGACGTTGGGCCCGAAGCCAAATTTGATACAGTTACAAAATCTATAAAATATATAAATATCAATGGGTTTATTTATTATTATTATTACTAGTGTTGTTTTTTTTAGATTCTGATATCGGCGAGAAATATATCAGTTTTACTGTGATGTGTGCTTTTATTTTTTTATTTTTTTTGTCTATTAGCAACTTTTCTACCAGAAAGCAAGCATGATTTTCAGGAGTAACATTTTTTCTAAAAGGATCCTAAAAACCGGAAAGTTTATGGCATAAACGGTTTCATTTTTTTCAAATTGGTTTTTTATTAAAACTTAGTTAAAATAATCGCCGAAACTAGACATTTTCATAGAGTACACTGTGAAAATGTTGGTATAATCGGTTTTAATCGGGTTTAGACGTGGTAAAACGTGAAAAACATTTTTAAATGTTTATATGTATACGATTTTTTTGAGTTTTTGTTTGGTTTATTGTGAATATAATTGTTTTGACTGAAAAAAAAAATGATTGAACATTTTACACCTTGATTGAGATTTGTAACTATTTTTACTTGGGATAAAAAAATGAGTTGAATAAAATGTAGTCATAATCATTTTTGTCTTTATGGTTTTTAAGTTAATATTTTGACAGAAATCGTAAAAATCACTGCGTTTAAAAGCATGTTTAACATGTTTAAAACTTCGCTCGAAATTGTTTATTGTTAGAAATATAGTTACGTATAGATTAAAATTAAAGAACTCTATATTAATTCCATACCTTCCTAACTCTTCAGTTTCAATAATGGCATACTTATCAACAGTATAAGCCTGTTTTTTTTTTTTTTAAATTACCTTTTTCACGATTTTGAAAAGATTAAAATAGTAATTCAAGTTCGGCTTTTCCTTAGTATTTTTTTCTAACGAGCGATTTAAAGGTTTTCCAGTCCAATATACTTTATACGCTGTATACACGGGCAAAACTAATCATTAAGTGTAGTTTGAGTTGCACGAGGATTCCCGCAATCCCGCGTCTCCTATTCACTCGGTTTTCATTTTCTGATGCGGTACAATCACGCGGCAAGCTCGTAAGCAAATCACGTCTAAAACTTACTATCGATTGTCTTGGGAAGTATCAAAAAGTATAAAACTCATTTTCACGGCGGTGTTACAATCGTAACGATATATTATTATACATCCGCCGCCTCAGCAGTCAGACACATATAATAATACACGTACGTAGCTATATTCTTTTTTCCGCCGCACTGCAAAACCACAAGGGAAACGCGCAGACTTTGAAAATATATTAAATGCGTATAGGCATTCTTTATACTACGCCTTTCCCGGGAAATCGAATTTTATTTTATACGAGAAAATAATCGTGATTTTATCAAAATTGAATAATAATAATAATACATCATTTTATATAAAAGCCGTTTTACACGCTTTGTGAAGATAATCAATGTCGTAAGATATAGATATTACATTTTAAATTGTCTAGATAAATATAAGAGATAATTGCTAGAATAATGTTATCTAGATGAAGATAAAAGACACATACAGTTACATTAGCATATCCATGACGGGCCATACTCCTTTTGCCCATTGGCCGTGTTATTATTACCAAATAACCAGTTACATGAGAAGAGAACATATTTTATAAGTAGTGAAAATTGATTAATTTCCGTGCTTTTTTGTCTTTTAGAATCGACCAATTCAAATCGGTTATCCCATTTCGAAACTTCAAATAAAAATTGTACAATGTTTAGTAATACTATTTCAAATTGCATTATTTAAGCAGTAAAGAATGTTTTTATGTAAACTAATAAATTATTATTGTTTTATTCTGATTGATTTGACTTTGCCTCCTTCCATTCAAATTTTGGATACCGGATATCAATTTAAGTATCAAAATAAAGATCAACAATCTGGAATATTTATCTCGTTAAAAAAAATATATATAATAATAATTTTGTTCATTATCTATAATAATAAATAAATAGGCTCTAAAGCAATCAAATTCTAAAAGTAAACCATATTTAGTACACATTTAAATTTTTTATGAAGATTGTGTGATTGATGTAACTTAATCGTTATTTATTGAATCATATAACTATAAATAAAACAATTTATCCATTAATTCTAAATAAATTCTTATAAATTACGATTTAAAAAATTTCATTTAGATAAATTAATTTAAATAAAACACAAAAGGGGAATAAAACTTTCCTAGATAAAACACAAACGTGAATATAACAAAACTCATATGAATTCATAAATACACGTCGATCCGAACCGTGTATTAACGTGTAACAATGTGATGGGTACAATTTAAATGTCTACTTGTTTAATATATTTTACTATGTAATTGTATATAGCATGTGTATTTAGATTCTGAGGGAAGAGAGAAATGTATTAGTTTCACCATTGAATATAAAGACCAGTATTTGTAATCAATAATTTAATCAGAGCTTCGAAACTAATAAGAATTAACATGATTGGCGAATGCCGCCCGAAAATCGTTTCGACCATCTTCCCAATTTCATAAAACAAATATTAATCTCAATTACATAATCAGTATGACCAGTTTATAAAATTAACATTACAATAACAAATCCACAAGCATTTCAAAAATCGCAGTTAGGTTTTCATCAATATCTGCGTACATATAAATTACCGATGAATGATACCATGTCGGGTAGTAAAAATCGTAAATAAATTTTGACAAAAACGTAATTATAACGGTCTTTTAATACTTGTATAACCGAACTTCGCTCCGAATCGTTTTGCGTTATCAATGGTTTATCGTTGGTTACACGTATAAATTAAATAACTCTGTGTATCGTATCATCTTTTTCTTTTAAAATTGGATTAAACGGCGGAAAAAACGGATAAATTAACTCAATAATGGTTTTTATTTTTTTCTCTTTTGTTGTATCTAATTTAATTATAAAAAATCGTAGATACCTGACATTTTCTAAGTATACTTATATTAGTACTTTCTGGGTGTGATACGTTCTAATTTAATCCATTTTTAATGTTTAAATGTTTTTAATTTTTATTTGGTTTTATGTAGCTTAAATTGGTATAAATCAGAAAATAAAAGTAAAAATTTAATACGATGTTCATCTTAAGTTGTACCTACATAATGGAAGTAAAAAAAAATACTGAATGGAATATGGTAGTTTTTATTTTTATAAATAATAATTTTAGTTTTAAGTTTTGACAGAAATCGTATAAATTGCGGCAATTTAAAATAAGTTTAACCGGACTTCGTTCAAAATTGTTTTTCTTTGACAACAGTTTATCGTTACGTATACATGATACAGAAATATAAATTAAATCACCCTATATACCTTCTTAACTTCCCGCCTAAAACAGTGGAATACCCATCTGCTGTATCAACTCTTTTTTTTGTGAGTGTTAATATATGCTTTTTGTTAAATCTTTGTGCTTAAACCTATAGTATAAAACTGAATACTACAATTTTAGTTTTATTTAAAAATTTTATTTTATTTTCCCGCTACTTCCACACAAACGAAACGAAACGCGTGTCTACAAAACTGACGAATACATAAAAGCTATTGGTTGTATCATATAGTAAGCCAATTTTCCTTAAATATTCTTTTACACGAATGAATTATTATTTTTTTTTTTCAACACGGTGTGCCAACTGCCAAGTATAATATAATATTTTACACCCACATTTTGCGTCTGCAAATTAGATTGTCCGTTTGCCGTTTTGGATATGCGTGATGAGAAAAATGTTGGGTCAAAAGAACAATGCACTCGTCCACAATATAACTTATGAGTTATAAATAAAGTAAAATTGTTGAATTTCACCAATTTTTTATTCAAATTTTTGCATCAGACCAAAATACAATTCATTTGACTTTTGTGTTTACGCCAATCGGTTAATTATTTGAATAAAAACCTATGTAGAAAATGATGTAGTATTTATTCTGTTATTGTATAGTTTTTAAAACAAGAAAATTTAATTTTACTTGATGGCATTAATACATTTTTAAATTATTAAGAACCCTAATCTAAACTTCTTCTGGCTTGGATAATATAATAAATTATTATTATATGATATTTTTAATAAACAAAAAGTACCTCATAGTAATTTAAGATATTTAATTTTCAGTACAACATGTGTTAGAATTTGCAAACACTTATACTATTTAAATCAAAAAGTAAATGGACGAAAATTTCCATCAACGAAATTATTTAAAAAAATATTCGAAAAATTGGCTTATACACTTTTTCCTTGGGACCAAGGAATTAGCTCAGGAGTTTTATTATTTCGAGTAGCGTAGGTATTTTTAATCTACGAAATGTTTGTATTCAATTATAGGTACGACGATAGGTTAAATTAAAGGTACAAATGTGAACTACAATATTAGTGTTTTACGCACAACTATAAAAGCGTTGTTAAAATCTATCTTATGTATAAAGTTAATAACCTTTTACTTGTTTTTGCGGGTTCGTTAAAACTGATAACTTGTTTAAGTTTAAGTAATGATTCATTGGCTGGTGTTGGTTAGACATTGTCTGTCCGGAGTAGGTGTATATTATATGAAGGATCGGTTATTAAGTATATTTTCCAAACAATTTTACGATTACAATTTTAGAAAACTTTTCGAGCTGCACCGAAGACGATAATGTATAAGAATAATGTAACACCTATCTCTCGCTGCAGTATATACTATCTCGGGCGTAAATATATACTTGATATCCTCAAAAGAGGAACACGGGAAATAAGTACAATTAAATAACATAATAGTATAGAAATATGACGTGATAATATACTATAAAGTGTAGACTAACCTTCATTAATATTTTACGTTATTTCTTATTTGTGGATGTTTTTGGTAATTCGTCATTTTAATAATAAAATCGTATCGCTCGTCATATCATAAAATTTTTGAATATTATTTTATTTAACCGGTTAGTTCGATAATAATTATCACTAATCACATCCTTCGAATGTACAGTATACGTGTTCATCTTATGTTCTTGACAATATAAATTATTTTTAGATTATTGGTCATCATAATAAAAAAATACAGTTAGGTTCACGACGACGAAGACATTATTTATTACTTTTCTGCGGTGTCTTGTACTTAGCTAAAAACATACGCATAGAATAGATACCTAAACATTCCATCCTGATTTTCACAAACTCAACATCGACTTCAAACATCTCTATGGCCAATCGGTCATCCGCTAAACCCATTCCATCGATCACTCTAAGTAAAATTACTAACTCCTGCAACATCCGGAAATCAACCGACATTGATATACAGTACGTTCATGCTAAAATGTACCACTAAATATTTCAGTCGGATGACATTATATTGAAATGGAATTTTCAGGGAATGATAGGGAGTACTCAAATACACATTTACAGATAAATTTTAAATGTTTAACCCTTTGATTGGTACTCGCATGCGCAAGGCAACTTACTTATTTTTAAATGGCAACACCATCTTTTTTCTACGCATTCCAATAGAATATTTTTAGAACAATTTTTGTATAAAACTTTTTTTTCTAATCACAAAATTGGCAAAGTTATATTATGTTGAAATTTAATATTTACGAATAATCTGTTTTTATATTAGTTAACATTTAACATGACTACAGATTGCGCATGCAAGTACCAAAATGGTTAAAAATTTGAAATTCGTTTGGAAATGTGTATTTAGTATTCTCTACCATTCCCCGAAAATTTCATTTCAATACTAGGTCATCAAACTGAAGAGGTACCTCTTAGCGTGAACGTACTGTATATTTCAGAACTCATCCCCTCGCCTATTTTCAACCTTCAAGAATCCATCTTCACAAAATATCTTTAAGCGGCAAAGAGCTCTGGATGGTTTTAAAAGAATATCAATCACCAATCGCAATAGCCATCACCCCAACAATTATTAATCATTCAAACATCATACCCTCTGGAAGAAGCTTGCGCTAAAAACAGAGTAGTTTACACAAGGCAATACAATGCAAATACCTAGTCATATTACCATTGTCGTTTCATTGATTTGATTTACTTACGGTGACAGTTTGTATAGGCGTGTAAATATACATCAGGTTGTGCGTCTCTAATTTGCACTGGAAATTAATGTCATCGGTTTTTAAATCTTGTACGATCGTTGTTTAGTCGAAAAAAAATACACTAGATTTTGTGAACACAATAAACACGCAGAAAGGAAGTCTTTGAACAGAATTGTCAAACATGTTTATCGGTGTGAAATCAGGAGGTGAACAGTTTCAAGAATGGTTTTGTGGACACATATAATCGTGGAACGGTGAGCATATTATTTGGTACGCAATGCAATAATCATAAATAACTAACTGCCTAACTGGACTGGTAAATCCTAAAATAAAACAGACCAAAGAGACCCGAAGATAATTTTTACGTTTTATAATTAATATAATTAGAACTTACATTAAAATATTATTACAAATTTTAGGTACACGTTAACCATAATATTCCATCTATTCTAATGTACCGATAAATTTAAAATTCAAAAATGTTTACTAATTAAGTTTTATACTTTCATGAGTCACATAATGATAGATGTATAATATACGTACACGGATAAAAAATAACGACGTGGATGAAAACTCAACGAACGTGGTTAATAATTTATTTAGATTAACTAGGCAGGTACGCGTTTTATCGTTATATTTACAACCTATCATAAACCGTGTGTAAATAGGTACTCTAGTCGTCTATGATTTTTTTTTTTTTTTTACCTTTATATTTATCGGATTTACATTAAACCTCGTAGTATTGGAGCTCGACTCGAAATACGTTTCCCGTCCTCTCCACTAATGCTGTCGTATGCACGTCACTCCTGCGCACGAACATCCCTCCAATAGGTAGATACACCCCTCGTATATACATCCCTTAATCCCGGTAACGTGCAACGTGTGCGCATCACTTTATAACTTATTTAAAGCGTGCGGTCGTACACGATTCACACTGCACATCATCGCGCGTGAGAAAACGGATTTTTTTTTTTAAATCTTTAAAAAGTCCCAGAGTAACGCAAAATAATATTTTTTATTCTCGCGTCACATAGTATGACGTACGTATTTTCCGCTTTCACGAATAATATTTTTAATGGTCGGTCCTCGTAACGTCGTTTATATAATAAAAAAAGACTCATACTACACGTAGAGAATTTTATGGGTGTGTCACTGTTTTAGAAAGGAAATGGAGAGAACAATGGTAAACCATTGCTTATGAAAGACGATTCTGAGCAAAGTGTAAATAATCGTATTTTTTCCTTGTTGCCAATGGACTACAGAAATCAATAAAAATAATTACAAAATTGCTAGTTTTTCCCATTTATTAACTCAGTTACAGAAAAAAAAAAAAAAAAAACGAAATCAAAGAATGTCCCTATAAAATTTTCAATCAGAAAATAAAATAATTTTTACATCACGCTGCGCTTTTTGTTGTCACAATAACAATTATTCTAAAGGAATCTGTAATAGTTTATACATACATTTATTTCGTTCTGAGCCGACAAAGAAAACAATCATGACCGTTTTCGAAATGTATTTTTAAAACAATATTAAATATTAAAATCGTCATAAATTTCAAAAAAAAAAAAAAATTGGAGTTAGGCGACTTATCACAATGTTTACTTCGACAAACAATGCTCACAAAACGTTTACATAGGCAGGTTTGCGATGAGTCGCGTTTTTTTTTTTTTGCAGTTGTGTACTAAAATAAAAGTTCAAGAACATTTGGCGGTATGTTCCGGTAGAGATGCAATAAAAACCGAAATCACTTGTCACTCGACACGTGGCGGATATATTATATAGGTACCGTCAATATAAGATGGCAAGGTGTGAGAAATCCATATAGAGCGACGAGATGTTTTCGGGATTTATTATTTCTCTACGTGGACGGACAACAACAAAACCTGTACGTTAAGGAATAGAAACAAAATTAAACAGAAACCACAGATATATAAAACAGCTAGATGCCCAACTCAATGAGTAAATGTGAAGCTTGACAGCTTATACGGAATGGAAATTTTATAAATTGTGTACTAGTGAACCCGCACTGTTTTGCGGCACCTACGAAAAAAAACGGTCCACGAATCGTCAATTTAATTTGACCAAGGAAATCGGTTTACGAGCAAAAAATTAAAGTGTTCTGGAGGAAAAAAAAATTAAATTCGAGCACGTAAGCGTGTGTTATTTCTTTAGTAGGTACAGCATAATCTAGTGTCCAATAGGTATAGTAATAATGTATTTATGTATTCTCGTGGGTTGTTATTAAATCGACCTAAGAAAAGAAAAAAGAACACAAAGGCGAAAAAACTTATTTGTGGGTTTTTTGGTATTTTTCATTAACCGTGCACTTATTAATAAATATCAAACTTTACGCATGTCTAGAATTCAAAACAGTTGTGTTATATAATATTAGCCCGTTTCGACGACGTTTTAATAAAAAAAGAAAAACAATATCACGGTTAAATATTTGTAATTTCGTTTTATTTAAATTGAACGTCGTTTTACCATCAGAAAATTGTAGGGCTGATAATATTTCAAATCTAACAGGTATATTCACTTTTTTTTCACAGTCCTACAATTAAGTTTTTATATAACTTTAATAAAATAATAAAGTAAAAACAAAATTATTAAAATGGTTAATACGCATAAATAATTAAATATATAAATAAAAAATGTGTATATAAAAATAAAATAAATAAATGAATCAATACGTCACCTGGTTTATAATACACTTATCATAATACCACAGACAACGCATTTATTTCATTTAATTATTTTATTTTTATGTACACATTTTTTATTTATATATTTATTTACTTATATATAATTTTTATTACTGCGCGTTAACCGGGTATTTTTTGTAAGGTGAGTCTAGGCAATAATGTTCAAATCAAAAATGGCCATGGAGAAATATCCAGGTAAAATTGTCCGTTTACCAAAATGGCTAAAGGAGAATATAAGTCACAGGAAAATACAAGGATAATAATATGACCAAAAACAGAAATGACCAGAGAAAAATATTGCCATGGAAAATAATGGATATATATAAAAAAAATACATTTAAATTACCTAAATTTTTCATCTGTCAACTTTTGTATTTGGCCATATTTGGTCTTCTTGGTTAAAGATGTCGAATTTAACGATAACAAATTGTGAGTTCAGCTAAAAATGTAGTTTTCAGTTCATCATTTAGAAAATGTATGTGCAATTTATTACTCTTCCATACACATCCGGTCTAAAATTTATGCAGTTACAACTCGTTAACTGCAAATGTGATTGAAATGTTAAGTATATGAAAATGTCTAGACAAATATTCTCTATTCTAATCTGTGTGCAAAAAAGTGTTCCTATTTTAAAAATAAAAGTATATATTTATTTAACGTATATAATTGAGTAGGGTAAAAAATTAAAAATTGTTTTAAAATCAAGCTTAAACAATTCCACTAAAAAAAAAAAATCACCCTGTATATTGAATAAATAGTACCTAAATAAATTATATTAGTCCCACATAATCATTTGAAATAATAAATCACCAGATCTAAGAGCGGTAAAAAAACCTCGTCAAATTGTACGTTAATTTTCGATTACCTTTACAATTTACATAGCTCAAATCTCAAAAAAAATTTCCCTGCACATTCGTTCCGTTTTCGATTTGGCTATTATTTTAGTTTTTTTCTAGCTAAAAAAAAAATATTATACTCTAGATAGGAGCATACGTGGGCTGACGACGATAATATTATTACATTACGTCACTATACTAAAACTCAAAACGCGTACGCCGCCAATAAGATAATATATCGAAAAATGTAAATACGCACACGTGCACAAAATAAATATAAAAAATATCCGATGCGTTTTTCGTCTAAAACGCACCTGTCGACCGCAGTCACGGCGCCAAAAGACTTCGTATGGTATCACGTTCGATACCGCAATATTTCCGCTCGTCCGACACGTCATCTATACGCCAAAAGTCGTATATCATCTAGCGTTGTGTATCCCCGAAACCCCGAAAAATTCTACTCGGCGATACTTACCGCCGAATCCAACGCGAATAATGATAGTATGGTCGTATCCACAGATATATTATTAATATTATAAGTATGTAAACTACTTTAGTGATAGTCGACGCTCCGTGGCCTATACCGGTTATACCACGTAGCGTAAAATATCGGAGTCACTTAAATTACCGACTCCTCTTAATAAAAAGGCCCGTGTTAACATTTTTTCGGACGGTGGGCTTGAATTCTTATTATTTTTCTTGTTGGATTTATTATCATTTTTCTGGAGTGTTGTAAAACAGTAAATGATTTAATTGTTCAAATCAAACTTTGTTAGACCTATTTACCAACAATATCGATTCGGTACTATATCAAGATCGTACCAGGTGCCTAATAAATTTACTACCAAACGTTTCTGTAAGTTATATTAATTTATTGTCGTGTGTTTTAGAAAATAACTTACTTGGTATAATAAAACCTGGCTTTTAATTCGTTTTTATAGGTGGCTAGTAAAAACATTTTATACTCAAATTGGTTAATAAGTTCTTATCAGTAAGCAAAATTTAAACCCGGTTTTTTTTTTTTCATACTTGACGACACAACCTCTCAAAAAACGACGCTGAAATTCCGAAATCGCAAAATTCAAACACGCGCAATTTATATATTTAGTATTTGTATTTTATTTCCATCGTGGTTTTCAACGATTTCAGGAAACGTCTCAGAAATTTTTGTTTTATAAGACGTCCATTAAAACAACCAAATTAATTTGGCCGTGTATGCATTAGTATATATATTTTTCGTAAAATCGTTAGGCTCGTCTGTATCTATAGCAGTTCAAACATTTGTATTTCTAAACTGCGTTCAAGCTCATCTACTAACATAATGGAAAAATAAAATAACGGAAAACATAAAAAAAAAAAACATAGAAATAGAGAAATACCGTTTATCGTTTTGGTTTCTCCATTGTAGCGACGACGTACGTACGATAGCCCGTGAACAACAAGGTAAAAAAAAAAAAAAAAAAGGTTACACAAAATATGGCATAAAATTATATGGAATTTCGGGGTGTTAAAATATTTATAGAATAGTATGTAAGCATTAGTGAATAGCTAGGTGATTCGTGTTTCATCCGTCGTGTGACTTCATAAAAGTGGTCGTTCAAAACTCGTACACGAGTGTTTGTTATTGATGAACCATATCAGATATTTATTATTATCAAGTTGTTATAATATCAAAAGTCATAACATGATAAATAAATTATTATCGGATGTTTATTGATGTAGGCATAACCACGGTCTTAGAGCATAAAGTCGGGATATATGGCTATCAAATACGGTCGATCAGAGAGGCAGTTTAAATACTTTATTTACATTTGTTTTATTTTATTTACAATCAATAATTATATACGACATTAATAGGCATTTACTTACGAACGTGAAATTTAAAAACAGATCTAAAGCTAGGTGGTTTTAATTTATGTATGGGCGCAAAAATATGACTTTCTTAACGAAAAACGATTCTGAGCCAAGTTTGGTGATTCCTTTTTTAAAAATGTCATGATTTTTCTAATTTTCGTTAAAATTGAATCTTGAAAGGCTTATAAAAGAAAAATAAAAACATTGTGCTCAATTTGTATCATGATTATTATTATTTTTTATTTTTTTGACATATAAAAACCATAGTTGTGATGAAACTTGTATTAAATTTCCAAGCGTTTCTAGTTGATCAATTTTATCCACATAATACCTAACAAAATAAAAACTAAGCATTGACTTTAAAATGTCTATAGACAATAATGTGTATAGACATTTTAATGCCTATAAATATTATTGCATTTACACACGAAATCTTGTATTTAAATATTGGAATATGTATGGATATCCTTTTTGACAAGACGATTCTGCATACGTTTACCAAACTGGTTCGTTTTACTAGCTGACTACTTAAACCATTCTATGATTCCGTGCGAAAAAAATCACAACGTTCAAGATATGCAAGGACGAGTGTCAAAATGTTTACACATGACAAGTCTAAGCAATACCATTGTAGAAAACACCATCGTGACCTGTATTTTTCATATATTCGATCCTGTTTAATTTCCTCTCTAAATCGTCTATACGTCGTATTATTTTCGGCACGAGACAATCTCGTCTATCATATCGATAAAACAAAAATATTCAAAAACGTTCGTTTTATTATGTTTGTCCTTCCCAAATAATTTCTATAAAAGGTATCTGCATACAATAATTCACCACGTCACAATTGATTTCTATAACACTAACCAAAAAAAAAAACAGCCGATTTAGTATTTATTGTATTTAACAACAAAGGTTACAACATAATTGTTTATAATCTTCTCGGCGGATCATGTTTGTTTTACGACTGACGTAAACTCAAAGTAATAAATGACCCTGCTGCGGTCGGATTTAAATCTCAGTCTCCAGATTATTAATATCGACTATAGTTATTATTTAGTAACAAAAAAGAAAGAAACTGCAAAATTAAACGTACAATACTCGTAAATGAAATTAAAACTTTTAATATCTCAGAGTTTGATTTATGTTAACAAACTGTAATCTTACGTCTGTTATTGCAATTATTGTGGCAGTGGCACGACTGTATAACATAATTATTACGCAAAAATGTGTATTGTTAAAAACATAGATACGATGTAAAATTTGATGAAAACCTGGTGAAACCATTGTGATTTGTATAATATTAGTGAGCGAGAGCTTAACGTCATTAACATAGGTTAATACTTTATGTTGAACGAGCTTAAAAGTTTCAAAATACAAAAACCAAAAACTATCGTCCCTTCTTATTGGCTTTTGTGGGATTTAAGATTTGACAGATAGAATATTATGTAACGTTATTTTTATATAATATACAAAATTAAAAAGCGTTAGGTTCATATAGTCTAAAAACTTCTGGTTAAGAAATTTATAAACACCATAGAATCTTTAGTATAGACAGACCAACGTTGTGTAAATGGGAACATAAACAGTGTGTTCCAATACCTGTTTGTCATATAACGCATACTATCCCACAGAACAGTAGGCCGTTTCCCGAATTTAGTTTGTAGGCTGGTGGCCCGGTGCTTATACTGCGAGATCAATAATTGATAAGTCTCATTATCTCGGAAAATGTTTAGTATTTTTTAGAAAATTTAAGAAACATATACAGCTTTTCTATTGTAAAATTTAAATACCACTCATCGTAACACCACACAAACGATGACCAACTATTCTCTCCTTACTCACACTTAAAAGTGGAATATTTTGACAAAAATTGATGGAAATTAAAAAATGTCAACACCTGTGTTCGATGTATTTAAACTAAAATTTATCTATTTATGGAATGTTAAATATAGATCGCTATTTCAAAATCAAAATTGGGTAATTATTTCACCCACTGGAAAAACGAAAATATAAAATTGTTTAGCCATTCATTCCATAAATTGTTGAAAAAAAGTTAATACATTCCAAGGTAATGGAAGAGGATTAATCACTCTATATCCTTGTAAATTTGTACTTTTATATTGGTAATAGTAATACGTTTTCCGATGAGTTTTTGACCAGAAAACTTGCTTTAGTCATTAAATTTAGTGGTATAAAGTGATAGAAAATTTCGCTTAATTGTTACATTGACGTCGAATTTTTTTCTTCGTACCTAATTTTTTTAATAACGTGCTTAAACCAGAGCAACGAATAAATGGGAATATTATGATTTATGTTATATATGTATAAATATTTTTTTTTTTTTTGTAATTTGGTGAAAAAAAATAAGCAATAACGGCAATTTGTATTTAAAATTATTAATACGTATTTGTAATTTTCAAAAATGTATTTGCTATTATGTTAATACAATTGAGTTGATTTATATAAGTAATGATTTTAAACGAATTCATTATAAATTACACTTATTAGTGATTATTACTAGTATATCGATCTCCATACAGTAATTAATTTGTATAGGCGTTTAAATGAATGATGACATTCGTAGAAAAAAAAAAACAAAAACACAAACGTATATTATTTATTTATTCTGCAATTTATAATTATTAAAATTGATAGGAATAAACCTAACTAGAACCACCATAATTCCCGGGGATAGTGGGTCAGAACTTATCTAGTCCACCTCTAAGTGTGAAGTTGGAAAGGTATAGGATGTGTGATAATTAATGTTATAAACTGAAATAAATGACGAATCAATACAATTAAAAAACGATTCCGATCGATTTTGGAAAACATGTAAGGTTATATATGTTGTATATTCGTTGTGATTTGTTGTACAAGTAAACATATTATATTCCCTTTTCGTATTTTATTGGAGTAAAACTTTTAATTTATTGTTTAATTTGATTTATATTAAATAATACTAATAATTATTATCTTACGTTTGTTTGTTCCACTGTTATAACGGCATGGCACTATAAATTTAGTAGAAGTATTCATTACTTAACTAAAATTTCAATAGTTTCATTGTTTCGTTATTGAACTTATAGATTTTCGACACCGACTAAAACATTTCCATCCATCATGAGGATAAGAAAAACAGTGTTTACGTATTATAAAATACGACGTTCGTTTTTTCAATGAAGTTTGTCCAACATAATTTCTATAAAAGATACTCGTATATTAATAAAAATCGTCCAGTCGCAGTTGTCCACAAACTAGTACTGACAAAAAAAAAAAAAAAAAAAGACGATTAATAATTTCTTGTATTTATAACGTTATTATTCATATTAAAGATTTTCTTGGTGGATTGTATTTCCTTTTAATTTTCGACTGACATAAAACTTAAAGAATAAACGGCTCAATCTGTCAGTTCGAGACGTTCCTGTCCTTCCCATGTCACCGATTCTCTTTCTGCTGACATCACACTTTGGTGACTTTCATTTTTCCTATAATATTTCCTTTTGCTAAAACTTACCGGCAACGTGCGTTCCCAGCAGCAATGTACACTTGCTTATGATCTCATTACTACTACATACAAATATACAAAATACAAATTCGTTGACTCCTGCAATAATTAATACTTAATAGTATTGACAAGTAAATAAATAAAAAAAATCCCATACTACTGTAGTACTTGGGAAGTAGGAAAGATGGTACACATAAAGATATTTAACTTTTAACTGTTCATAACGATGATCCATCGTTAACCGAAAAACAATTCCGTGAATTATAAAAAAAAATCTAAAGAAATATCAATACTAACTTTTTTACTCACCAATTAAAAAAAAACTTATTTCAAAAAAGAATTTATTCCTCAATTTTAAAATAATATTTTTGATAGAAAGGAGATATGGAAGAAATTATAAACAACACAATTGTTTAAGTCGTAAATTTATCCGGTTTTATATTTATTTTTAGATTATGAATGGAGCAAGGAATGAATTGGTTTTACAAAGATATTTATTTTTTTTATTATTCCTGTGGATAACTTTTCTACGAGTAATTTTGCTTCGATTTACAATGATAGCATTTTTTCTGAAAAGAAATCTAACTGATGTGGCACTTGTTTAGGAAGATCAATTTTTTGATTTTCCCAACAGTTTTCTCAGTAAATGGAGAAAACCGGACAAAACATGAAAAAAACGGGAAAATTTACAAAATGTTTTATTTGAAAATTGTAAATATTACGGCCGTTTTTTTAAAATATGTATAACATAACTTCATTCAGAATCGTTTTTCGTTAGCAAAGATTAATCATTGTATTCAGATATATATTAAATAGATAAATAAATTCCTTCTTTATCTTATCTTCTCAACTTCTCACCTACTACAATGGTCGACCCATTGTGCGAAGTATGTATTTCGTTTTTTTTTTTTTTATTGAGACAATATTTTTAGGAGAAAAGTTATTTACAGACACAAAAAAACACACATCGCAGTATCATTTTTGCTTAATTGTTCTGGTTGTTTCAAATTATTCAAAATTATTAGTCAATTATTTGTTCGGAGATGTATTTAGATGTTTAAATTCTTCTTTTCAGAAAATGTATTTTTCATTTATTTAGATAAGATAAAACACAAAAAGGCACCAATCTGCATAATACACAATACAATTTAAAAGAATAAAAACCACTATTGTAATCGATTGCAATTTATGAAAACATAATAATATAGTATTAAAATAAATAAGGAACATACTTAGTCTAACCGTAAATGGAATCCAAGGGTAATGTTATTGCCGTACATTATGGGAAATAGTTTACCACGGTATAAGTATAAAGTATGTAATACTGTGTTCTCCGAAAAACCAGACGTCCACAAGGTGGCAGGTCCCCTTGTAGAAAAAGGTTTTACAAGTACAAAAAAAAAAACTGAATAAATAAGCACACATCATAGTGAACCAATACAATCTTCGATCCGCTCGGAATTTAAATTATATTAATATTACCAACTAGAATTGAGAAGCGATGTTATATACGTGATTTGTCTATGACTATAACGATATTTACATATGCAACAGTGTTTAACATCGATATACTGCACTCAGATGGTATGTGTATCCAATACATGTATATTTATATAATAAGACGCGATCGATGATTTTGAATTTACTAGGACTCAATACTATATGCTACTTGATGCACAGTAGATTTCTATATTATTTCGACATGTATGCGATTCGAAGAAAATAAATCAAATATTTAAATAGTATATATATACTTGTAGAAAACCGAACATTTGTATTATATGTACTCTGTCCTCACCTATTTTTACCTGTACCGAACTATTTTCGACGATCTGGCTCTACATTTTTAACGGTACCTATACATCAAAGTTGTCGTAATACCTATACAGATCGAACAAACGGAATATTCAATTTGCGTGTCACATAATCGGGATTGCTTAAACTTGTACTGTGTGTACCTATCTAAAAAAGATCTATTTTGATTTTATTTTCAAAAATAATATAAGATATTACTCGTATTCGTATATACCGTTTTGAAAAAGTGTGCACTTTTTCTCTTTTCCAGGCCAATTTTTATGAAGAATAATAAATTTAAAAAAGCTGTGATGGGTGCAGCCACTGTTATAGGTGGGAAGTTGGAAAGGTAGGATACAGAAGGAAATTTAATGTATACCTGTAAGTAACGATAAACCATTGCTAACGAAAAAACTATTCTAAGCAGTGTTCAGTTGATAGTGATGATTTGTCAACAATGTATAATACTTCATACTATAGTAAAATAATTAAGTAGACATTATATATTTTCTTTAATAACATTCGTTTAATGTTGTACCGGTTAATTCAGTTTCCCTACGTTTTTCTCGGTTTTCCCGTGTTTTTTTTTTCGGTTTTTACATTTTATGAGTAAATTCTTGAGAAACTCAAACAATGACTTTTTTAAAGTATCTTCCCACGCCGATTTACTTTCAGAAAAGGTGATACACATAAAAATCTGAGCAAAATTTCTGGAAAAAAAATAAAAGTAATAAACTTAATTATAAAATTATAAGCTTCTTCGCTCTACTCAGAATCTAAAATAATATATTGATGACTTGATAAATACTTAAGTAGGCAATTAATTTGGATTATATGCAGATACTTATACCTATTTTGAAGTAATAGTTTTTTGGATCAACAAATGAAGACTAAAAAAAAAAAAAAACACTGAGTAAACAATTTTATTTGGGCGAACAGAGTTTCAAAAGTTCAACTACTGATGAAAAAAGTCACACCAATAAACTGATCCTCAGAAGCAAATTACATTGGAGTGACAATTGGCTCACAGCAATCTTGCTGTGATGTAGCTGCCCGAGACCTATTAAGAGTTTCAGGCATGTATCATTTCATCTCTTTATAAATTGTCTATTTTTTTTGATAGTTATAAATATATAATTATTTTATTAGTGAAGTCTTTGCAGATACGAGTATTTAGATGATTTGATATTTTGGACTGAGGACTTGGATTATTCTCGCATTTTATGAGGCAAAAAGAGCTTATTATTTGTCAGGTTGTAAGCTCTTGCGATAGTACATAATGCAAAATTTTGCACTGCCTCGATATATTTCAGTTTGATTTTCTTATTGATGTTCTTCATGCCACTGTCGCGTACACCAGGATCGGTTTGACGTAGATATTGTGAACAGAAAGTCTATTGGGGAAAAGGATCGGACTGTGATTAAGAACTGGGTATAGAACTGCATGGACTTCTTTTGCTTTTTGTACGGTACTTTTTAAAATAATTTGTTTATCCAAGATGATGGCAGGAAGATACATTTCTGGACTTATATTAAGATAATAATTCTAAAGGTGACCAAAGTTAAAAAGAATTGTACACCAGATTATTGGTAAATATACCAATCTTCCACTCAAAAGTAAGCTGACTACTATCAAGACATATAGAACACCAATTTAAATTTTGCAAAACAGCAAGATTCTCGTAGATTCTTGATGAATACACTAGTGGAACTTAGAGTCTGCCCAGTCCGTGTATAGAAAAGCCGTGACAAGACTTGCATACTATGTGAGAGATGAAAAATTGGTAAATCAATGAATATAAAATGTTAACGATGGTAAGTAGATTAAAAACTGATCTCCATTAAGATTATTTTTATTTAGATGGAATCATCCTTATTAAACCGGAATCACTTAACTATGCACTTTTCATAGAGACATTACATTTTATCGGAATCCACTTTGTTCTTCGTATGCAACAATAATATATTATCCTATTTCAGCGATTGAACTGGTCACATATAATTTTAAGATAGTCATATAGATGAATAAATATAATTCAGAACGTTCCGCGATAACCGAGAATAATAGATTGGTTCCCTTTTGTAAATTTGAAACTTTAAAAAGTTACTAACAGAACTCTATTATATGATGATATTGTATTTAATGAAAATCATTAGTGAACAGACTCTTGTATAAGAATTAGAAGTTATTTTCGTGTGATTAATTATAAAATAACATTATCAACTTGTGTTATTTTCGTTCATTTCAAAAAGAAAAAAAAAACTGTATTGATGTGAAACACAATATTCTATTTGTATACATTTTCATATGAATCCAATACTGAACCTTTAAACACTAACTCAAGAAAACAATCCAGATTCCTAAATTATCAAAAATAAAAATAAAATAAATTAACTAGACTATTAACTAAAATAGTGTTAGACAGTTAGCTATAAATAATCAACGTGTTGCCTGTATACGTAATACGTCATTGCGTTGAATGTAAAAATGTTGTGACAATAAAAATTGTTTTTGGCTTTTATTCTATTTCGTTGTAGTCGTCGTTGTCGTTAAAATGTCACGATAAATCTTTCTTAGATATATAAAAACATCATCAATAAAAAACAAATGTTAAACTTTGAGATCTCGTAAATGATTTAATTTTCATCTTACTGAAAATAATATATTTTTATATTGACTTGACTAGATACTTAGTTTATTCATTCCAACTAACTAACAATCAACTTTAACAAACTGTAAATTATAATTGAAACTGATCTATTTATATCTATTGTGTTAGATGAAATTCTATAACGTTAAGATATAATAAATGTTCTGAAATAATACCTATACGAATTATTATTTCTCCAAATGGAAAATGTTTAGAATATTTTAAATAAGATTTCCTCCGGAAAACAATAATATGATTAACTGATCCCCAGACGCTTTGTGGCTGACGCTTACCGCTGGCCGTCCGCATCTTAGCGCTGGTCGCTACTTTCGGGCGGTCGTGGTGCTGGAACAACGACGGCGAGCCGCCGCCGGTACAGGGTCTTCGAAGGGAACACCGGCCCCGGGCTTTTGAAGCCTTTCTCGAGACCGGGATGGGTTCCCGTTCGCCCACTAGGTGCAGTGGATTAGCTTTACTATCTCGCACCTGTCCCACAGCCACCACGTTTCAGCCGAGTTAGACTCGTCAAACTTGGGGGCACTAAGTCCGAAGCGGCCAAGCCGGTGGGGCGTGAAGTGGGGCTCCCCCGCCCGTGGTACCGACTAAGATTTTGGTTGACGTCGGTAGGTCAATCCGAGACTGCGTCTCTCCCACTATTTTGGTTCCCCAGCCGGCTAGTGGTGGGCCTAAACACTTTTATTGTCAGTAAGAATGTTCCGAATATTTCACGTAAACTAAAAGATTTGAATCGGCTACGTACTGGTAATTTATGTAAAAATATTTTATAGATTCACAAACTTTGCATTAAAAATTTAAAATATTTATATACCTGATGAGAAATGACGACACATTGATTTTATTTATATTTATTTATAGAATATATTTCGGCAATAAGGGAAAATCCGACAAAAATTATAATCTATCAATTTGTGCACAAATTGCATTGACTCATCGTTAATTTCATTATTCAAATAAATCACCCTTCATCTTATGAAAAGTTTAATCGGATTACAATAAATATATTTGTTTTACTTCATTTCTGATTTTAAATATTATTTCTTACAAGAAATAAAAAGAGCTGATAATGAGTCCCATTTTTCAATTTGGAAAACTAGGACACATAAAGTTATTTAATTCATAACTGTAACAAAGAAACAATAAAAAAAAATGAGTAATGAGATACGATTCTGAGTGAAGTTCGGTTTTACATGAAATGCTGTAGTTTTAACGAAATTCGTAAAAAAATTGGTCTTAAAACGCTTTTAAAAAAAAAACTGTAACCTACATTACAGAAGCTAAATTTGTTTGAGGTTTTTCTTAATTCTTATAAGAACTGCTCGGAAATTCAAAATATGACCTCTTCAGTGCACCAATAAGATCCGAAATGTAACTAAAAAGGTTTTTAACATTTTTCGATCGGTGCAAATTTTCTGGTAAAAAGTTAGAAAGGTAAGAGCATAAAGTATTATAGTACATCATAGCTCATTGTAGCAAATCATAGTATAACCAATAAGTTCTAATAAGCCAATAAACTTTCGAATCTGAAATATGTGGGATCAAATATTTAGTAGATATATTTGCACGCCAGTTGGTGGTTGATTAGATTGCTCAAATTCTAATTTATGCTAAAGTATAAAACATAACCAAAGAATTTTAATTTGATATTTTATCATAATTTACTAAGAATATTGTAACTGCATTAATTTAAATTAAAATTATTGCTATTTACTAGGTATATCAGTATTGATATCAGGTAACATAACTTATAAAACATCTATTTATTCAAAACTGATTATTGTATTAGTTGAGTTTTTTTTTAATGTTTCCATATTATTGAGATGTTTTAATATTTTTTAATAATTTATTAGCTGTGAAAGTTACACATGTTCAATTGTTGACATTTTCAAGATACTATATGGTTTTACACATCGATAATTAATAGGCTGTATAGTATAATACAACACAAAAATAAAATATCGTATTTTCAAAATATTCTGCTCGGCGTACATAATATTATTGTGGTGAGAAGTTTTATATACTTACGGTCAATATAATGTTTTTTTTACGATTTTTATAGGGATATTATAGTTTTTATTTTCAGCAGTATTTTTCAAAATCTCACTACGACTCAAATGCCATTTGCATTACAAGCCTCACTAATAGTTTACCGTTTTACGATTTCATTTATCGTTTATTTTTTAATTGGTTTTAATCTTCAAGCAACATTGAACAATTATTGTTCAAGCCCTGTATAATACTGTTAAATTATACAAGGGGTCGACGATGATTATTTAAGAACGTCAAAAGTTACTTTAAATTCGTTACTCGTAATTCAAACTTATTTACTTAATATTCACGGATTTACCTATTATATTATTTTAAAGCTTTCTCGAATAACTGGCATTTCTTGGACTAGGTAGGTAAACAATTTGTACGGCACACTATAAAAAGTCGAATCAATTTGATAAAATTATAATTTTTTTTTAAATATCGTGTAAGTAATTTATTGCGTTATTCGTTAAATGGTATCCATCGTATTTCGATTTAACCTAACAAATACTCTAAATGACAATACCGGTGTATCTATATCTAAAACGGGCAACTTTTATACTCTAAGATCAGTGTATCCCATTAAATTATTTACTGTAATCATATTTTTTATGTTAATGTACCATAGTGTGATGTCAATACCTGTAATTCATTAATTATAAATTCTTATCTCATGAAATAAATGGTAACAATTGGCGAAAAACAATGGCGTAGTAGAAAAATTCGGAACTCGGAAGGGTCCATTATATTAGTTGGTATTTAATAATAATCCTACGAACATTTTGCCGGGTTATCAGTGCGTGGTTACTAAATTCTTAAAAATAATATAAATATTTCTCATTGCGTCAACACTAATCCTGAGACAAAATGTTTGCCCGGTAAATATCCATTGATCTTTTAGTGTTGTAATTTACAATATAAGCTTACAGTACTTAGTTATATAGGTGCGTAAAAAAGTGACATACTTCGCATCAGGTGTGGGCTACTGTAGTGGCGAAATTTCGGGAGTAATGATTTGATTTGGTTGATATTTCAAAGGTGACGATAAATCATCCAATCAAAAAGTCGATACTGAGCGAATTCGGTAATCAGATAAAGTCATAGTTGTTTTTATCTCTTTTTACCAAAGATTTCTTTCCCAGAAATGAAACTGATGTATTGTTATAGTTGATGTTAGGTTTTTTAATTCTTTTTTAGAAAAATTTGGGTAAATCTAAACAACTTTTTCAAATAACATAGTACCATCATCGAGTGAAATATGCATGTATTTTATGATATACGCTGAAAACAATTTCAACTATTTTCACTATAACCGAAAAATTGTTTCCCAGTAGAAAAAAAAAACATATTAGTTAAAACGAAACAAGATTTGTAATGTAAATCAAGAATCAATGAATTATTTTATTTTATTATTACAAAATAAATATTACTACAATGTACAATAATTCACGGAAGATTCCCTCCTCCCGCATGTATTATATTTTATTCATTATTTATGTATATAAAAAATCGATTTAATTAACAGAGGTCGTCTCTAATACAAGCAAATTTGGCCTAATTGAATCCTCATGAACAAAAAATAAGTCATTTCTTGAATTGTTATTATTATTATTTTAATGACTGCGAGCTGTAGTTATGGATTTTTTGGTTAAAACAGTTTTATTCCGTTCGTTTCATATGATATTAAATATAACCACCATAATTATATGAGTACCTAATATCACATATAAATTATACTATTGATTCTCAAACTTGTTTTGTTTGCGAAGCTCTTATACTCTCCTTCTTATTTTCTTTCCTCTGCAACACAAATATTTGCATTTGGTCACTCCCTTCCTAAATTTTTATACGTACCGATCTCCTACCTCGCATATACTGTTTGTCCTTGATTGTTCTCATATCATTCTTAATCACACATAGGCATTATCATGTCAATTACACTCATTCTCTATTTTTTTTCCTGTCTACTGCTCAACACTTTGAACAATACAACATAATCTGTCTCATTAAACTCTTATAGAACATACCCTTAAGTCTCATTGCAATTCTCTTGTCGTATAAAACACCTGACGCTTCTAACAAACTTTATCTAACAACACTTAATTTTATGTTACACATCCTCTTTTTTTTTTCTCAAACACATCCGAGATAGGACAATTCACTAAAGCTATGTTTAAAACTCCTTAAATATTTGACATAATTTTAGACCGGCTGTCAAATAAAAATACGAACATTTTGCATGTGTAAAACGCACGATCCTGAAACTATTAAGATGTTTTTGATAATGAGTGTAACGCAACATTTTGTATTATTTTGATTTGGCTTTATATATTATAACACCCATTATTGTATTACCTATATTGTTAGGACATATTTGTACAAAAGTCTAACATCAATAATCCTTTACGTCATAGTTTTGGTTAAGTAGGACGTTTAATCAATGATTTTTAGTTGTAACAAAAACACGTTTACGCAAATAAAAATCCTATTATTTTAAAAATAGTTTATAAATAATACAGGTATAAGTAAATATTGCAAAAAAAACATTATTTTAGACGGTATTACGTTGGAAACGTCATAACATATACGTATTTTAAAAACAAATAAACAAGAACGTGTGGAACACGATTCCCAACAGTAAGCGGGGTAAGAGGGATAATGAAACTCTTCTAAGCGGTGAGAGGAGAAAATGAGATGATTTGAAGACCAAAATGGGGTGTTCCATGGAAGGCCAACAGAAAACTTTCGAGAGCATTAATTGAACTTAAACAGTTGGTTTCGAAAAGTTTCGCATTGTGAGATTCTGGGAGACACTAATTCGGAGCAAAATAGAAGTAGACGCACACATTAAACTGTACATATGTAGTGGCGTTGAAACCCAATTTTTAAGTCAGGTCTTAGCCTGACTTCTTTTAAAAAATAATTATACGGCCACTTCATATCGGGCCGATGTTTGGTTGACAAACCGAATGAATACTTCATTACAAAAAGTGAAAAACTACGCTGAGCATTATTTTGTACCTAAAATAGACCCTGTCTAGTGACTGGGACCTCTTAAAATGTAATTACCCGACTACATTTTGTGTACTTCGGTTCCACTGAGTATTATGTAAACTACAACCGAAACCGGTTAAGTCATAGATGAAATCACGGGTAATACCGACATATTTTTATATTATTAAGTATTTATTTGAATACTAAAACATTTGATTCGACAAAAAAAGTAGGCCGGGAAACGCTGATCAGGAAAACTATATAATAAATAAGACAAATCTACGTAGCTAACTTTCATTGGATATTACATTTTTTACGTTTTAATAGCTCGTTTTTTTTTCCTTTTTTTTTTTTTCACAAAATATCTAGTAATAAAAAACAATGGTTTAGATTTGAATTTAACATACTGTACCTCTAAAGTTTAACAGTATTTTTGTCTTTCATTTCAAAATAAAATAAATATTCAGTAGTGCCGAAAGATACTGAAACTGTCAGTTAAAATAACTCTTGAGCTTTGGCTTCGGTCGATTAAACGTAAAATATTTTTTCTTAAATCGATTGGAATAGAAATATTTTATAATAATATGCTGTGGTACTGTATTATTCCTTACCTAATTGGTGAACTATATAATATATTAGTACCTATCAAGGCACAACTGTGAAAAAATTATAAAGAATGAAAAAATATAAATTTCCATACGCGTATAACACTGTTTTCAGTGTAATGCAAAGAAGGTTGCAAAAAATAAACAAGGAGTAATCGTAAAAGTAAATAATAGTAGGTATTAATATTATTATTACATTATTATAACAAATACAGACATTCTCGTAGTATTAACTTCGTCGTATTTCATGTTAAATAAATTGTACAATCATTTGTGAACATACCATCGTACCGATATTATGGTTTAAATAAAGAAAAAAAAAAATATTTAAAATTATTCGAGTATGTTTTGGATGGTAGAATTCGACGTACACGAACATTAGATATATTAATTATTATAAACATTTAATGATGCTGGAAATTTTTAAAAGAAAATTGTCAAGGAAAATATTTTAACCGTTCTAGGATTTTCGGATTGAGAAATGAAGGACAAGACACAATAGAGAATTCTGGGACCTGGGAAGAAATGAAATAGGTAAGACATGCACAACAGAGAAAACAAGGATAAAATATAATATAAAGATTGTAATCGAAAATAATCGAAAACGGCAGCTAGGAACATTTTGCTGAAGACATGTTGTCGCAGTGGCGTTACATAAAAGTTTGCCCTCTCCCCCTGAAAAAAAGAAAAAAATGGGCCAAAAATTGTATTTAGGTACATAAACTGGGTGTAAGACACTCAACTATTTTATTAATTTCAAAACTTTAAACTGACGTTTATACTCAATATCATAGAACTTTAAGGAATATTGCACAATAAGGGACTTGAACTATTGTGCCCTCCCCTCCTTAGTGGTGAAATCTGGAGAACAACGGAGAGTGCCAGTAGAATACAGAAATAGACGCAGGATTTTTGCTCGGAAAACTGGTTACCTTTGAAAAGAATAATAAAATGTTATAATAAATACTTTTATGACAAAACTTGGTCAATCTGTTCCTGCATACCTTCGTACTAATAATTAATAACCGTTTGATATTTGCTAATTTTATTTTTTTTTTTTGATTTCGACAATAATTATATTAAATCGAATTTTTTTTTACGATTTCAATCGTTAAATGATCACATTAACAATATTTTCGAAATTTTATCCTTAATCCGCACACTAATCGACACCATAAACACCATAAACAAATATCAACTTTTTATTTTCTATAATCGAACCCCGTCCATTTTAAAACAGATTCGAATTCACTGTTATTGGTAATGAGTGATAACAGTACAAAATCTATACAGGAAAAGTAAAGGGAATAATAATGGTTAAAAAAACGGATATGAAATGATTTTCTTCCTAATACTATCATAATATCAGGTGGACATTTTATACTGTCATAGTTACTCGTAAATGGTATATTCGGTATTCGATATTTACGAACGGTTTCGTAAAAAAAACAGACTTTAAGTTCGTGAGAAAATCGCCGGATCGTGATAAAAAAAAAATAATAATTACCTCGATGATCATTTTGTATAATATACGTAAGGCACATCGGGGTGCATACGGTATTATTGCCGATCACGTTCTTCGGTTATAATCAATCATTATTACAATACTCTACGCTTTTAATATGTATATATCTATATATAGTGTTAATATTTTATAATCAATGTACCTAACAAACAAAAAATATGTTTCGCGTACTATCGTTTTATTATTATTTGTATGTCGATTTGCTTGAATAGTTTTCGTTAGATAAGCGTGAACCTCCGAACGCCGGTTTCAATATTGTTATATTACAATGCGTCGTGTATATTATGCGATCGTGTTATTATTTTTTAAACTCTCAAACTACCTATGCGCGTAATATTTAACGTTTTCGTAATAGGTATTAAAGGTGGGGTTCGGCATGTTATTAAAAGAGGTCGATATAGGTATCGTTTGGGTCCGATAAAAACGTATGTATAATATAATACGCGCAGGCGCGGCTAATGAGAAAATAAACGTCACTAAACTTCCTAACCGTAAAAAACGCGTATTTTATGTTTACCCGAACATCATGGCAACATAATATTAGGTTTATTATTTCGAAAGCCAATAAGTCCTATGCGATATTTCGACCGGGGAAAATCTCGCATATTGTATTTACCTACCCACCCATAACGATATAATCTGCCCCCGGAAAATGCCGAAAACAAAATTGCGTATATTATTATATTTGCAAACATCGCGTGCAGCTGCTTTCCGTTATAACGACTATCCGATATGTATTATAAGCCTTTCATCCGAAATCCCAAAACTCGTGAGCGTCTCGCACTCATACTGCATCGAGACATCTACCTGGTAAAAATCTCGCTTGCGCCTACAACGCTTACACCGCGCGGTAATCAGACGCCGTTCGTAATAATATGCTACTGCGAAAACCCCGCGGTTCCGTCGACGTGTTATTCGGGGAGGGGAGGGATGTATTATAGTACGTATACATTGTATATATATGTTACACACAATATGGGTGACTTTGTCAAATTTATGAAAACATGAAAATCGTTGACAGTTCCGTGAAATGACCAAGTGAGTTGCCTGATTCAATAGAATGGGCGAAAATGTGTCCATTTCTTGGACTGGCGATCGAGTGTTCTTAAATCTACGACTCGATACTAAACGCGCTGCCCGCACATGTAATACAAAATACAAATTTATTTATTTATCAGCGTGAGTTTTTGTTTTGATTAATCAATTGTTTGGTTAATTGTTTATTACAAATATTCTGTTAACGTAAACATCGCAAAATAAAAAAAGTATATGACACTCGTAAGCGCAACTAGGGGAAAAGGTGTGCTAGGGTGTCTGTAGCACCTCCAAAACAGCCAGTGAGGTTTTTCATAGTAACGACCAAATATTTTATCAATATATTTCATAATTAATGAGCAGAACAAAAGGCGGACATTGCACGTGTGTATGAAAAACAATGTTAAAATAATCATGATTAATTTAAATAACATACACAATTGTAACTGAAAGGTGTGGTTAACTGTTGTAAGAGCCGTGTAAAGACGACTGTGGGGTCTCCATAGGTTTTAATGTATCCACAATTTTAACATCCCCAGAGTTGGCGATCTAGTTGTGCCTATAGTGATACTGTAAATATGTATAGGTATGGCAATGTTATAGGTGGTAAGTTGGGAATAAAGAATCCATAGTTGTTTAATTTATACTTGTATACAATGCTAAATCATTGCTAATTAAAAACAATTCTGAGCGAAGTTTCAGTTTTATGTGCTTTGAAAATTCGTGATTTGCATGACGTTCATAAATATTTGAACTTCTAAAAAGTTTATAAAAAATACCTACTATACATAACGCTTTGCTATTTTATATTAACGTTAAATACAAATTTTGTAAAATTGCCAATAAAATAACTTTAATCACACGACACATCATAGTAAAGCATATACATTATTCGCTGTCTGCAAAATTTTAAAATTTTCATTACAAGCGAAAGAAAAAAAAACAATATATTTTTAGTCTCCAAAAGTTTCTTTAGACTTTAACAATATATCGTTCTCATGATTTTGTAATTCCACTGTCAAAGTTGTAAAATTAAATAAATTCTTCTTTTACAACTGTTCCACCAATCGATATTCTTTCTTCATCTCCGTGTGTTATTTTAAAACATTTTTTGAAATAATACGGACAACATTAGGACAGCCTATCAACAGTCATAATATCCTGTAGACTTGTATTCTCTTGGATTTTACGATACTCACTGTTTGTCAGATTGTGAATTGAATAGAAAAAATTAAAACCACAAAAAAAAAAAAAAAAAAATGACGGAAACATAACAATATTATTATGAATTCTCGATGAAGTTGAAAAATATTATTTTCTCGTATTAAATTTGAAAACTTTTTTAATATAACAAAAACAGAGTACCTAACCGTTTTTTGTCATATATCATTCGGATTTATTACGCAATCATATACATTTTAATACTTATACATAGATTTCTTTCGATAATTATTTTAACTTTAAGAAAATATGTGAGCGTAGACGTTTTTGTTGATCTAATTCACACTTTATTGCTTCTTATACCTTTTTGTTCACGAACTGCAAAGTTCTTAAGAACAAAAAAATAATCGACAAAGCACTAGAAACAAAAAATTTTAATTTTTTTGTATATTTCGTCAAATACCTCTATATTTTCAACAATTTATTGTACATATTTTTAAAACAAAGTAAAATTTTACGTCAAGAAACGTATTTGGCCAAAATTTAATTGTTTTCCATAAGCTTCAATATTGATATGCTTGCCTTGAAAACCGTGGCCAAACGGTCAAAATGAAATTGTCTTTTATCTTATGGTGATAAAATTACTTCTTTTAATTTTATTAAAATTGCTAACAAATACCCGCATTTTATCAGTAAACGTTGTTTGTAAACCAACCGATTGATCAATGAAGAAAACTAGGACTCCGGGGCAAGCAGTTTGAGAACCATTGGCTTACATCATGATATTTATAACCCGTACATTAGCTTCAAAACTTTTCGAATCCATGATCACTTTTAAGTTAACGGATATTATTGATATTAAATTTGTATTTCGTTCGTATAAACTCTAATTTTGCCACCTCATCTGTCCATAATAAAATTCGAATTACCACGAATATTCAACTACTGGGCGACGTTTGGAGCCACGAGGTACTACAGAACATCCCTTACAGTTGTGCCACAGTAACTACATGTGAATTTAGGGTACGCAGTCCTCTGGTTGGAATCGAAATGACACAAATGAATAATGTCCCGAACACCCGACGTTTACGATGTTCGTCGAAATTGAAGTTTATTACTTGCGTAGGTAGGCAACTATATATTATATTTGTTTCAATTACAAAAGACGGACGAAATAATCGTTTCGATTTAAAAGCAATCGTTTAACTGTATAAAATGTGTTAATTGTGAGAAATCGGTTTTTCACAGAGTGCGTAGTGTTGAATAATCGCGTATACCAAAAATGACAAACAAAAGAAAAAGTTACCTACTGGCTTCTAGGTACCCACCTAACTATCTACCTAATATTAATTATGGCTAATAATTTACAACGTACCTACATAAGATACATTCTACACGTTGCACCGCGGACAAAGTTAAATTATTTAAATATTAAAACATTATTTACAATGTCAGTGTAGAATTTACATACATTGTGCATTAGCCATAAAATATGATTATGAAATACATTGAACGGATTTGACGGTACGCATAATAACAATGCATATTATAGAAAATAAAAACGTAAAACCTTGCTAAATGTAATCTCCGTTACATTAAAAAATAACATTACTAGAAACCGATCTTTTATTAAATATTTTTAAAAACAATTTATTTTTAATTGTTTGGAAAAATTGGAAAACGAAAATCTAAAAAATTTATGCAATATAAATAATTGTCATTAACTCTCAGTTCGTCGTGGTCCGTCGGCAAAAAACCGGGATAGAAACAAACCGATTTTAATCAAATTATTTATTTTCCCGCGGCCGTACCTTTCATTCGAAGTCCGGGGCGCGCTCCGTGTGCGCAGAATAATTTTCGCTCGCTGACACGCGCGCCAGTTTATTTGGCCGCGGAACATAACACATTACGGATACCTACTAAGAATAATATTGTACGTCCTCCCCGGAGACCGTACGGAACCACAGAAATAGGACGCCGATAATATTAGTAACATTATTGTTATATTGTTATAACCGATAAATCATTGGCGTCGAGTAGCTTTTTGTCGGCTACCCAAAACACACCGCCGTAAGTCCTTTTTATTTTTGGTAGAGCGCGAGACAGATAATAGACAGAGGGAGTGAGAGAGAGATAGAGAGAAAGAGAGAGAGAGAGAGAGAGAAAACGAATTTATATACTCGTGCGGGTATAATATTTTATGTGGGACGCGTGTGCGTGGGTTATTTTTCCTGTAACATGGACATTCCCATCAAAACTTTTTGTTTTTTCGATATTGATAGTGACTCTAATACATATATATATATATATACATATAGGTACGTACTGTCTATGAATATTTTATTTTATATTTTCACGGGCGCGTATTAGGATCAAGACGAAATTTGTATACATGTATACGTGTATTTTTATGTATTATATCGTAATGCGAATCGTCTGGGCTTTTACGGGAATAAATCACTCGGCGTGGGTTAATTTATTTATACTATTAAACGCGAAAGAAAACTGTTACAAACATTAAACTCCGCGGGTACAATAATATAGGTATACATAATTTTCCTTTTAAATTCTAAACTCACTGACTTATGTTTTTTTTTTTTTTTTTTTTTTTTTGAGCAGGAGGCGGTGGGATTTTATGTTGCCAGGCCATGACGTCTTTATATTTATTTGTTTTCCCTTTTATGTTCGTGGTTTCCTCCGCAGTGTGTTGTGCGTGCATGGAACAAACGACTTGTCGTTACCCGGTCGAATTTTTCGATAAAAAAAAAAACCAAAACAAAACAAAAACAAATGGACGGTAAATCGAAAATCGCAAAATACGTCAGAAACGTCTAGTAATACGGTCGTATGTATTACGGCAACAATATTGTCGGGGTTCACTAAATGAAAACTTTTTATTATTATTATTTTTATTTTTTGTTTTTCATAAACGTAAATGTAAACTATATAACATCGAAAAAGAATAGCGCTCTGTAATCCGTATCAATCACATACGTCATTTTGTCAAAATGCCATTTTCGTGACAATGTATTATTCACTGTGATATTTATTTATGACGAAAATTAACCTGCAATTTAAGACGTTATTAACAAAATTCAATATGTATATCATTATGTAATCACTGTACTCTATAGGGAACGGATTTTAATGAAAAATTAATTTGTCTGTGGTGAAAGGAGAGTGATCGAAAACAATTTAGCTTCCCCGGTAAATAGTAAAAGTAAAACTTTTATATTACATTTTTCGATCATTTTGTTATAGTTTTATCCTTTGAATGCACATTGCCACATTATACGAATAAATAGTTTAAACTTAGATTGTTCAAGATATTATCTAAAGAAATAATTATTTTGTTTGTTTATTTTGTTTTAGGTATTCATCAATCAATACACATTGTCTATCGTTCCTTTTATTATTTCGATAACTTTAATATCTTGTCTCTTTTATTAACGGCTGTGACCCAGCCCAAACAAATAACAACGAAAAAACCTTTTATTCTGCATTTTTTTGCTGCTTTCTATTTGTAAAGCACTTTTTAGAAATTTTGTGTCATTTTTGTAGGGGTAATTATTCGCTAAAAGACATTTTGTTACGGTATTTAAACCTAGGGCTACTTGGGTACTTATCACAGACCTCACTCTGATATACACTTTTTATAAAGGCGAATACAGAAAATATTTTCTAAAATTAAATGCCAAACAACTGTGCTCTGAACTTTGTTTTATTTCTATTGCATTATTGTAATTTAATAATATTGTGTTCGGCTTTTAAATGTGTCTACTAGGTCTTATTTTTAACAAAAGAGTATCAAATAAATTCCACGGATATTTTTTTTCTGAATTGTTCATTTTTAGGCAAATAAAGGCTTAATATATAAGGTACAACTAATGAATTCATCACAGTGTTATCTCGGATTTTATGTTTATAATAAAAATGATAATAATCACTCGACATTTGTGCTTCTATTTCACATTGTTTGTTTTTTATTGCCCTAAAAATGTATTATCTAAGAAAAAGATTAACTCATTTCAAATACACTATTTAAATGTTATTATGTTTGTAAACTAAAAAAAAAAAAAAAAACAATAGTTTTTAAAAAGTGAAACTAAAATATAGATTTGAAATGATAATCATTTCGAATTGTTAAATTATAATTTATATTTATTTAAGTTATTAAAGTTATAAACAAAACGAGTGCTCTATTTAGGTAATATACAATTCGTTTTAATTGTTTCCGCTTCCATATACATTAAAAAAAAAAAAATTAATTATAGATTCAAAGTGGTCAAAGAAATAAGCTATTAATCTTAAAAAGAAAGATTTTTTTTTTCTTTTTGGAAACCACTCTTCGAAGAGCACTAGACAGTAGATAAGTTTAAAAAGTTTCGCAAAGCATTTATATTTATAGATGAAAAGCACTTAAGAAAGGTAATTTTTCGCATTTCTTGGTTCAACGCGCTAAAAATTATTAGATATGGACAAAAAGCGTAACTCGCAATAATTATGAAACAATAATAATAGTAATAACTGCGATCTCCTTTCAGAATAAAATACAGTTTTTTCTCAATGCAAATGTCGACTTATATAATATATATAATACGCCAGGTTTTTATTTGCACTGACGCAGTGGGCGAACTGAGAGGAATGGCTGACAGCCATTTTTCGTCTGCAGGTATATTCCTATATATTATTTATATTTTTTATTTTTTTAAACAATGGCAAAATAAATATTGAGGAAAAACAAGTAGGTAAATAAAAAACCGGAAATTTATTTGTCGAAAATAACGATAAATTAATGAAATACAAGTACATTATATTATATTATAATATGATCGAACAATAGTTTTTCGGAAGCCCGTGACAGTATATTATTATTATTGAAAATATTGCCACACAGATAGTAGTTTATAGTCAAATCAATTATTGTAATACACACATTTTTGTGAACAAAAAAAAAAAAAAAAAAAAAAAAAACAATACTTCTGAGTTCATAATATTATACTTAAATAAATTATTCAGATTTTTCAAAATAAAACGTCATACTTATTTTATAATATCAACGAGACCTAGATTTGAAATAGTATTTTATGTTTATTGAAATACTTTTTTTAAAGATACCTTTATTTTGAAATTGTGAATGTAGTAAAGAAGTTATTAGGTCATTAAGTTATTATTACCTATGCGCCATGACGACGAGTATAATATGTTTTGTTTTAGGGAAACACTTTTCGATTAGTAAAAAAAATTTCAAATTGTTTGTATCGTATCCTAAAAAAATATATTTGAAAAAATTGCCTAGGTTCAAACGGTTTTTCTTAAAAGTTAAAAAAAAATGACAATAGGTCGGTTTGTTTTTTATTTTTGAATTTTCTAGGTTAAAAATTTAAAAAAAAAGTACACAATTATTATTATACCTTGATTTGAATATGTATACTAAATTTACTTTTTGCTACACTATATATCTGATATCTCCGACCAAATTTCCGCCTTTAACAGTAACTCACAAATGATACAAGTATGTTAGAGCTTTTATATGTGTTATTATAGATATTAGTGTATAAGAAACTATATTATGATAAACCAATACCTATGGATTTCGAGGGAATCCAAATGTACTTCATTTTTGTAAAATTTAACATATTGTTTTTTAATTTATTGACTATTTTAATGAGATGACTTTTATGCTAATCTATGGCCCCAAATTCATTTAAAAATAATGCCAATTTTACAGTTGAATATTTGACCGAAAATCCAGACGAAACTGTAGGCATTGTTTTTGATGGTTTTCAATATTTGAAACGTATTATGAATCATCAGATTCTTTACTAAGATGCGTTGAAATTATTTTTGAATTTTAATTCTCTTTATTAAAAGTAAAAGACAAAATAATATAAGGACATTTTTTTTTTTAATTTCTTAAAAATATAATTAAATTGTTTGCGATTTCCAGTAATATAATTGAATTTCATTTTCTAACATATTATTCTACTATAACGTAGAATACAGCAATTATTAAAATCCATTTTTAACATTGAAATCAATTAAGTACAATTTCTACAGTTTTGTACGATTCCGAAATCTAAATACCGAAAATATAAATGTGATAAATATCTAACTTTTTACCTATCTTACAACGGGTTTTGTTAAAATAGATCATTTTCTTAAAAATTGTAATTGGGATTTCAATTCTAAGGAAAAAAGCAACGAATGCCCTATATAAATTAAGTAAATAGTAATTTTATGATTTATGATTTTATGTTTTGCAAGTACGCTGGTTCGGGTTCGCCGAGTATAATATAAACTATATAATATTGTTTCACTTAAGTAGTGTTTTCCAAATATGTATAGCTATAGTATATTGAAAATTGAGAAAACCTCGGCACTATAACGTTTCCTTACAAAATATGTGTGCTAAATTCACTCGCCCCGAACGAAAAACGGGGATGGATAATAAATAATAATGATAAAGAAGTATACTGTTCTATATTTTATAATACGCAAAGAGGTCATATAAAGAAATTCAAAAAAAAAAAAATAAAAACAAAAGGATGTACAAATTATAGTATTATAATAAATCCTTGAAGAAAATACAGTTCGACCCAGTAATTCAATGTAAATTGTATTTATTACGTTACAAGTTTAAAATTACCGACTATAGAGTATCTTAACTTGAAAAAATTATGTATGTCCAAGAACCTTTTCTCAGTATCTAAAAATTAAATTGTTTTCGATCTTAATACAACAAATCGCCTGTATACAGTTGAAACGTGGATTTTGAGAAAATCCCAAAGACAAATTATGGCGGTTTTGAGAGAAAAATGCTCAGACAAATAGATATATGGTTCATTCTTTGATGCCCACGTAGGTGAATAGAAGCAATTACGTAACTACGATCATAATAATCTATTTTCAACTGATAGATATTAAAATTAAGGAGATCAGAAAATAAAAAACTACTGCGGGCGTGATACGCCTGGTAGAATCATGGATCGATGTCAAAATAAGGTGACTGAAGGAGACTCCGTTGGAAGATCTCTGAGAAAATCGTGGTTATTAATAGTAAGTTATTATAGGGTATAAAAAGTGTTAAGAGGACGTAATACTCGCGTGTGCTGTCTCAGATCAACTAACGGGCAATATAGCAAAATCTACCTTACACAGACTGCGTAAAACTCTCTTGATTTTGGTTTTATAATCACTAATTAAAAAATTAAAAGAGGGCAATATTTCGGAGGGCAAGACGAAGCGTTTTTTTCTATTTTTTGAATTATTATTCCGAATATAACGTTCAAAACATAGTTTAGAAATAAAAACTAATTCATCGTTTTTAAATAACTATAACATTTTAAAATGTGAGAAAATAAACAAAACGCATCGTCTTTCCCTCCGGAATATTGTACACTTTTAATTTTATATTAGGCGATTTTATACACTAAAACTAAAATCATGCGAGTTCTAGGCAGTTCTAGAGTATATTGCTATATTGTCTGTCAATTGGACCGAGACACCGCATGCGAATATAACGTCCTCTTATGAAATATGCAAAGCTGGTGTAGCCAAACAGTAAATGGGGAATAATAGCAGTGGATCGAGGTAGACGACAATAAGCACAATTAAGATTATGCTCCTAATTAGCAAATACCTCCAGTTTAAGTTTTTGAAGTCGTTTTTCTTTAGCAATGGATTATGGTTACTTATAGGTATAAACCAAATAACATTACGTAACTACCCATCTATTTCGGATTCTAAGAGGAGCGAGGAATGTATTGGATAACAATGATATTTATTTTGTTTTTTATTTTTTTCTGTGAAAAACTTTTCTAGATACAATTTTGCTCCGATTTTCAAAGCCACTTTTTGATTTCTGCAGGGGTTTTCCTAATAAATGGGGATAAACGAACAAATTTACGAAATGTATTATTTTTAAATCATAATTATTACGGGCTTTCAAAATGTGTATAAACGAACTTCGCTCAGAGTCGTTTTTTGTTGGCAATGATCAATCATTGCGTACAAATATACATTAAATTTCCCCTCAAGCTTCCCAACTTTTCACTTAAAACAGTGGCCAATTCATCGTACGAAGTGTGTCCGTTTGTTTTTTTTTTTTTTAATACTAAATCATACGTTTTAGAATAGAAATGCATTTTGTTCCACTTAACATATACGTTCTTTAAAATTGTATAGAAATTTATTTTGTAAATTGTTTTGAAATTTGAAGTATTTTTACGATTTGAACATTTTTTTTTTGGAGGGGGAGGAGAATTTTAGTATAGCATTTTAGTAAAGTTAAAAACAACATTATTGAACTCGGAAATTGAAACATTTAAAGCCGTAATAATAATGTATTAACTAAATTTTGTTGACACATCAGAATATAATATATTTGTATTTGTGCACAATATTGCCATAACGACGGAGGCCGAGGAATTTTCTGAAACAGATATTTATTATGTCATAAATATAAATGTCTTGAATACAATCATATGATTATTATTATTATTATTATTATTATTGTTGTTGTAATTGTATTCTCTATCGAACAATTATAATATTTATGTGGATTTTGCCGAAGTGAATCGCATACGAAACCTAAATTTTCGACAATTTATTATAATAATTATTATTGAACTATGGAATGATTTCACTGAGTATAATACTACAGCCGACTATCGATATGATATAGATGATAATAATTCAAATCTACGACGTTTCGGAATTCGGGTGATTTTGGATTCGTTTCTCCGTGATAGAGCGTTCGTTATATTATTACTATCATCTTGATTTATATAATTTTATAAAAAGGTACTCTTCTTTTATCCAAATTTTCGTAATATTTTAATGTTGTCAACGGCTATTGCCGATACTATTTAACATCTATAACAGAATAGAGAAAAACCACAAATTCTGACCTATGCACGGAAATATGGAATAAACACGGAATAAATAATATTTCATAAGAAAATTATTACAATTTCCAAACTAGAATTTATTTAAAGAACAGAATGACTCGAAGACACTCAAAGTTGATTGCGGTGAAATAGCTAGATTTGGCACTGGTTCTTTTCTGGTAAATTTTTGGTGGGGGTTATTAGAGCACAGTGAAGTAGGTTTCCGATAGGTTTAAGTTTTTGTTGACTTATCATTATGCGGCATAGAAAAAATGATATAGTCCTATGGCTTTCTTATAGGACTTATCACCTTGTGCTCATAATACGGGTGTGACTTATTACCTATATCTCACAATATTTTTTATTTTATTTTAGAGCCATACGACATTATCATTAGATGATGACGTTTATCACAGTTAATTTATTACGGTTTTCACGGTGGATATTTATCTGAAAATGCCGCCATTAAACGAGGCGCGAACAATTTTCTACAGAATCAATATACCGATAAATTAAACAAATCAGACTTTTCATGTTTCTCACAAAAATCATCCGGTTTATCTCTTAGCGTAGTATTGCTTTAAACACGCGTTTTTATTATAGATAAACTTTGAATAATTAACGAAAATAAACTGCGAAATCCGCATATTATTATCAGAAACGAACCGGAATAAAATAAGTATTGTCGATTGCCTTTATATTAAATTTAATGGACTATACATAAGTAATGCACATGTTAAATGTTATAAGGACGTAGACCGCTTGTATATCGTTAAATACATTGCGCGCGTTTATTAAAAATTTCAAAACACGTAGCGCCTCGCCGTTTGAACAATGGTTTTTGTTCGTTAAGTCGTTCACCAAAAGTTTTTAGGTGTATAATGAATTTCGAAATTAATAAAGATTAAAACCGTGTAATATTTTAACCAAACACAATTCGTGAAATCTTCTGACCTTTTATGTTTCTACGTCAGCCGGCGCGGCGCGAGTGGATGCGAATGACGGTTGGGCGGGCATGCTCTGCGGCAAAATGTACTCGGCACCATTATCTGTAGACTTAACAAGATTACCCAAAAACCCTGTGTTTTTACGCGTCCTCGAGACCACCTTTTAACGTGATTGCTCGTTATATCCACTGCAACGGGCCGGTCGACCTACTCAAAATGACATTCCGACTGTTTTATCAAATAGAGCAGCACTATTATATGGAATTCTAAACGTATAGTCTTCTGCGAATAGACCTATGCGCAGTATATGATAATAATATTATGTTGATTGAAAACGCCGCTCCCGACAAAGACAACGAAGGTAAACGAATGGTCCAAATTACACATAAATATATAATATAATAGCGCTAGGCACTTAAGTCGGATTGATGTGGCTTGGAAAAAATAGTGAAAAATCCATAAAAGCCGGTTTATAATTACCAATCTGGATTTTCAGGTTCCGTGAACGTGGATTGACGAATTAATCATCAGTATTAATGAATCAATTTATTGTAAAAAAAAATTAAACAACATTCAAATTCACTTATTTATATAATCTCATAACTCATAACAAATATAGGTATCATTCATTTAAAAAGTCCAAAAATTTGTAAAAAATATCAAACGAATATACAAACGAATTACGGACTATACACTGACAGGGGAAAAACCATGAATTTTGTACTTTTAGATTCCGAGCGTAACGAGGAGAACTATCGGTTTTACTAAGATGTTTATTTTTTTTTCTTTCTTTCATTGTTCTAGTCTGTGGACACGTTTTTTCGTAGTAAACTTGCTCCGATGTATAAGTGTAGTACCTTTTCTGAAAGCCCAAGTTCCTAAGACTTAAACTTCAAGTCATGTTTTGATTTTCTACACCGTTTTTAAAGTAAAAGCACTTAAGCGGGAAAAAATGCAGGAAAACGTACAATTTCATGATTTCATTGTTTTATAAAAAACACGGTTGACGTTTTCTACAGAAAAAATGATTTAATCGAAAAACCTCATGACACCTTTTTATTGCTTTTTTGATTTAGTTTTGTATGTTATCATCACTAGGAATTTTAATTTTTGGTAGTTTTTTTGCTGTTATTCCGTTATATATACACGTAGAGACTTTAAACTTGGTAATAATACTTATATTGAACTTACCTAGACGTGGTATAATTTACAAAATCATCAGACGACTTTTTTTTCTAATAAGCGTTTTTAAATCAAATTTAAATGAAAATCGCGAAAAATATTACGGCATTTCAAATTGTGTATTACCGAACTGCGCTCGGATTCGTCTTGCGTCAGCAATGGTTTATCATTGCTTACAGATATAAATGAAAACACCTTATGTATCCTACCTTCCCAACTTCCCACCTACAACAGTGGTTGCACCCGTCCCTAGTATTAGCTCTTTGTTAAATTTTGGGATGTAAACATATTTCTACAGCGCTTTTCATTATTTCGGTCATATAACGGTCCAAAGACCGAAAATAACAAATTAAAAGGTGATAATATTGAAAAAAGGGTAGTGCAACGTCCGTATTTTTTTATCTATTAAAAAACCAATTTTTTTTAAATAAACAAAAATTAATTTATAATATTTGTTTCTTTTCTCTCTCAATTTATTGAGATCCAGAATACCAGATAATATACATAGTTATGTTTGATATTCGGATATTTAATATTCTTATTTAAATAACATAATATACATATTTTTTTATACGGAATTTCGTTGATCAAACTTCTGCAAATACTAATGTATAATATATATATATATATACATCGGGTATTCGAATGTCACGATGAACATAAGACAAAAAAACAAACTTTAAACGAGTTAAGTTTACATTTTCATCTCTTCGAATGCCTGCAGTATAATTTCAAGTTTTTTTTTTCGTACGTGCATTTATTGGATATTCTATACAAGTAAATAATTTATAGATAAGCGGATATTTAATGATGACGACAATTTTGTGTGGTTAAGATCGCTAAACTTTACCTATATCAGTATATAGATAAATCTGGTTGTCGGACTCTTTTTGGTATTAACAAACTTTTCGTACGCGGTTGACGGCGAATGACAGTATTTTTATAATAGGTATCTACGTTTATTTCCAGACAGTTACAGATCCCATTGTTATAATATTATTTTGTGTTACTAAGGTGATAAGTCACGTTCCGTGATTAGAAACACTAGTGTCGTTCAAAAATTCATCGTAGAAATGCGATTACTAAAACATTATTAACATCTTTTTTTCTTGTAGATTTTATAGCCCAATCGAGGCCTTCTTTGTTTCAACTATTTCCAGTCATCTTTCCTGATATTTATATTTGCTCTTAGTTCTGTTCATCACTCAGATTTTTTAAGGTAAACTTTGTTTTTGATTTTATATTACTTCAATTATATAGTTAGGTGTCCATAGCCATAAATGTAAGGAGGGGATCAAGATGTTTACATTTAAATTTATAAATTAAATACATTTTAGACCCACTCCCATTGAAATTTATATTCAGTAAATATCGTGATACCGTTTTTCCAGACCACCCCTCCCCTTTAAATGGGGTTCAGATATTAGCTATTCAATAACATAGTACTCATACTTACAATCTGGTTTTAAATATTTTTTATTTATTGTGTAAATAATAATACAAACCAAATACTTAAGTTTAGTAATTTATTAACATTATAATCGTTTGAATTTTTTTTTTATTGAGTTAAATCTTATATTACATTATTGTAGCTAAAAATTTCTTATAGAAAAAAAAAATATGTCTTGATAAATATCTGCTATCTATATTGCATTATGGCTTGAAAAGAAAACCACAAATTCAGTTATGCAATATTTCATTAAAATTGTTTGTATATAAAAGCACAATGTATTCGAATTTTCCAAATTAAATTTTATAATCACATTTTAAGGTGCCTAAAGGTATCTAATGTATTTTGCATAATGCACTCGTAAATAATACGTAATTTTACTGGGAATCGTAAGCATTTGTTAATGCAAGAAGTGAATTATTATTCTCCTCGAGGATTTTCGTTTAAACGAGCTCATGGGTTGATATTTTTAAACAACTAAAATTCTCGTGAGAAATCGAACATTTGGCGAACAAAGACAGGTATTCACTATTCATACAGAAATTCACGGGTGTTTGGTCATCATCAGAAACTTATAACAAACTCGATAAGTTGATGTTCTCTTTCTCCATTGTCACGTGATAATATTGTTTTAGGTACTTTTCCAAAGAAATGACGTAGAACCCTCTTATTATTTTATAAACAAAAATGGATACAGCTATTAACCTTAATGGTAATAATAATAATAATAATAATAACATATTGACATGTCAATAAAAATACGTGTTTCCTTATCGTAGCACATGTTCTACAGACTTGGAAAAAACATGATATAACAACCTTCTATTCTGTGCAAAACCCGTGAACAAAATAACTAACCAAATCATTTATATTCCTGTGGTTTTATCGTTTATTCCAAAAAATGGGGCACACTTCATAATAAACGCTGACAAAATTCGTTCTGAATTGACATGACTGTTTATTTAGTCACAGGTAATAATTAAATATAAGTATTTATAATTTTTTTTATAAATTGTCTACCATAACTGTAATCTTAAAAGTAAAAATAAAAATGCAGCAGAAATTTTAATAAATTTAAATATAGATAGTAATAATTTTAATAAGACTACATTTGTAGTTGTAAATAAGTACCTGGTCTATTAAAATTACTGTACAAATGTTGATTTAATGCGTTCTTATAATTTTGGACTTAAGTCGTTATTTTTTTAATATAAATATGAAAATAAATACATATATTATAATGATATTTGTAGTGTTTTATAGAGGGAACGGAACAGTTCCGATATAAATAACAATTTAATATTGGTTAAAAAACTGTAAAATTACAAAAAAATCATCTTATAAAAAGTAAATATAATGTTTAAATTGTAATACATGGCAGACATATAAATACTATAAACAGTCTCTTAAGTCACAAAATAATAACATTATAGTTACTTATTAGTTGGTTAGTTGTGACGGTTAACCAATAGAGAGATATAAACATTAGTTTAAATTAGGATAAAAAGTATTTTTAAATTCATTACAAAAAACTGTAAGAAATTTGAATGTTCTTTACTAAAATATATTAGATGCTCCGTTCTTTTTAGTAACAATAATTAGATTTATGGTTGTTTAAAAAAAAAATATATGATCGAAATAAAAACTTGTTTATAATTTAAAACTATCATCTATTTATGACGCATAAATCGTGCAAAATGAAAAATACATAAATATAACCGAAATACATCTGAGTTCACTAAGGCCATACAAATATTTAAATTTCAAACTCATATGAAACATAAAGAGTTCACATAAAAATGTTTTCAAGGTAATGTAGTACAAAAAAAAATATCTATTTCCTTTTTATTAAAACTGTAATTCTGTTTTATGTTTTAGACTTAAACTTTTAAAACAACAATGATATAATTTGTATAATGTTTCGTACAATAATAGAAGTTAATAACTTATATTATTATGTTCTGAATGGGTCTATCCTTAGATATATAAAATAAAATACACTATGAGTAAACAATAAAATTATCAGTTTATCGATCTCTACTCAGATTTCCTTTTTAATCGAAATCTTTGCATTCGTGTTTATTAATTAAATTTCACCCTATATCTCAGCAGTTCCTAATTTTTTTTTGCCACGGAACCCTAATTGATTTACTTTTCCTTGCGGAACCCTAGTTTGATAACATAAGATTATTAACTTGTAGTGTTTATATTTTTATGTTTGATTTGAAAAAAAAGAACAAATATAAATGAAAACCAATTGTTTTATCTATTAAAAAAACATTTATTGTACAAAGAAATACAATATAACTAAGTACCTGTTTTCATCAATTTAATGAGATGATGACATGTTTTTACATATTTTCTTAAAATATCACTAAAGTTGGACTTAATATCTGACAAATGAATGCGAAGATCTGAAGCTGAAACCAGTATATTTCTGTACTTGCTTTTAGTGTAAGCGTAAGCTAAAAAACCATTCTCGCAACGGTAAGTCGTCACAAACAAAATCAGAACTGTAATAGTCTTTTCAACAATTTTAGCATATTCGTCTTTTAATCCAATCCGAAAATCATTTAGATCATTTAGATGCTTTGAATTTTTGTTTAAGAGAAGATGAACACTTAATATTAATCAAAATCTCATATTCTGACACAATTAGCATTGATGGTTTGGTATGATTTGCGAATGGATTTTGCAACCAGTTCATGTCCTGTAACTTCTCCGGAAAATACTCTTTCAAGGATTTTTTAAGGATTATCAAATGCTCATGTATATTTTTTTCCACATCTGAAGTTACTTGCTGCTCATTTTCTTTCAGAAAGTCATTAAAAGCAGTAAAACATTCGTTATTATATCTATCAACATATTTGATCCAGAAGTCAAGTTTGTTTTCAAGTGAAGACATGTTATCATTCACTGTAAATTTAGTCGTGGTTCTTCCCCGTAAGACTTTGCATATTACGTTGAGTTTATCGAATATATCGGCCAAGTAAGCCAATTTCATTAACCATTGCCCATGGTGCTATAGTTAAACAAGCGTACTAACGGATGCAAACACGTGTTGTTTGGTGAAGAATATCTTAAGGTTATTGCGCAATTCAAATAGCCTAAATAAAACTCTTCCTCTTGAGAGCCATCTCATTTAGGTGTGAAGAAAAAGTGATTGATGCTGACTACCTATATCGTCGCACACTTTTTTAAAAAGCCTCGACTTAAGTGGACGTGATTTAACGTAGTTCACAATTGTCCATCCTACAGGAATAAATTCAAAGGACAAGTACGATTCCTCATATTTTCTTTTTTTTGAAGTAGTTCTTTCTTGAGGTACAACACTTTCACTAACAGATGTATTTTGTCGTTCCTGTTCAGTACTATGACCATCAGTGTTTACCAAACTCTGAAATTAGTTGACAATACCTATTGTTATACCTATAATAATTTAAATTATGAACAAAATAAATTTTAAAAAATCGGCCATAGATTCCCCTGCGCCCTTAGGCATTTCAATTTTATAAAGAAAATATAATAGTATAATATAATTTTTTACAAAATTTGATTAGGCATGCTGTTCATAATTTATATAATATAATAAATATATAATAGGTTTATAAATTAGTCCTTTAGGACGCTAGGTAAATAATATAATATTCTTCAAGACAAACTAGAAACATTTTTTTCCGAAATATTTTCATTAAACTCTGCTGGTGAACGCGCCGAAACATTTTTGCTACTTGCGAGGTGCCCCGTATTTCGAGCCAACAATCCATTGTTATAAAATGAAATAAAAAAAAGAACATTTAAACAAATCTCTCTTATTTTATTATGGACAATGTGTGCATAAAAATCTCTACGAATAAACAAAAACATAGTTACCTGTGAAATCGAAAAATACTTGAACGATGGCAATAACCGTTACACCACCCACTGCAGTCCACTTCTTTCTTTTCCCGCTAATATAATTACGTAAACTTGTTCAGTCTTATCGCGGTGTTTACTCGACTGGAGCTGGCGGCGGCCACGTTCGCTGCCCCGTCTCCCGCGCTGTTTTATCGGCTCGGTATACATTCATTTTTAACGTGGGCCGCCGCACGTGCGATCAGAAATACTAGCAGAAACGTGGAACGGAACACATAACGCTTGTGCGCATCCGGCATTCAAGCCTACAATGCAGCGCGCGAATAACGGCCGTGTATAACTTTCTACGAAAGTTTTGTTTAATTTTTGGACGGGACGCGGAACCCTCGTGGCCCTTCCACGGAACCCCAGGGTTCCCTTTCGGGTATCCCTGCTATAGCTTTCCATGACCTTTCCAACTCCACGTCCACACCTGCCGGCCTATTGGCCTACTAATTAACTGTGCGACGCACATACGGATTATTTAGTTTTACATATTATTTACGATGAACAAGTCGATATTGTGATATTTGTTTACGGTTATGATTAACTGCTTACCTATAGTTATTCTAGTTTTCAGGCGTACCTTTGTGTATCTGTATTTATTTACTGGTTTTTAAAATTTTTGTTTTGAAATTATAACACACGTCAATATGAAAAAAAAAATGGTATGAAATGAATAAACGTATGACAGCATATATTATCATAACGGGAATTGTGACACACAGAGTAAAACATTTTTCGAATGGACACGACGTCTGACGAGCGCGTACCGAAATATTGAGTTACACATTATAAATAGTGAATACATTGATAAAAAAAAAAAAAAAAATATTTCAAGTTCCGTTATTGAAATTATTCGATTTCCATTGTATAAATTATGCGTTTAACATAATAAAATGTTATGTTATTGTATAAAATACACGGAAACACGTTGAGTTTATGTTATTCATCGTTTGACAGCCTAAACTAAAATATTTAATTAAAAATAATTATAATTTTCTAACGGAGCGTACAATTTTACGTGTTTAATTATTAATCTCACAAATATATTTCCCGAAAAATTACTACAAACAGATTGCTGATTAGTCGTCGTTAAACATTACCGAGTCACGTCAATCATGATACACGTAAAATCGTCTGTCTCCATTCGTACCTGTTCGTTTTGTCGCTGACCCACACGATATAGGACAAATTTGTAAAATGATTAACACGAATAATAACAACAGTGTATGAGACCTAATATAATATTGTGAACCAATTGCGTAATTTAAGTGCATTTATTGAGTGTTAAAAATATATCGCTAATACAGTTAACCGCGGATCTGATATTTTTTTTTTTTTTTTATGGCGGAAGCGCTTATATGTTAATAATATTCTCCATTGGGTACGTATCTAGTTAGAACGGGCGTAATATTAAACTCTACAATGACCTTGCTATTATAATATAGGCAGACAATATAACGAATTAATACATACACCGTCAAAACCACGGTATTTGAAGATAAAGTCGGGACACTGTCATTATCAAAAGCGGCTTCTTAATGACGCAGTTCTAGTAGCGTGACAAGAGTAACTTTATGCGTTTGTGGATTATATTGAACCGTCCCAATCATAATTTAATTCAAATTGATAATAATAATAATAATAATAATAAATAATCTATACAATTTATCGTTTATTTATTGACAAATTATAATTTTAGAATCTCCTGTTAAATTTTCAAGAATTTCTGTTTGGTCTGATAATTGTAACCATGAATTACCTACTGGAAAAATATTACGTAAATACTCGCAAAATTAAAATGTCTATAAAAGATAAATATCAAGTCTCTATTCAAATTTCAAGTTTCCTACAGACATTTTCAAGTGAATTACAACAAAAACAAAAACAAAATTGAAAGTAATAAAATAATTATTTGTTGTAAATTATCCCGTTATTCCTAAGTTTTTTCTCAATTATTTTATTTTCCCGATTATTTTGAAAACTGCTTGGAAAATCTGTTATACTTGAAAATTTGAGTAAGATTTCTGATATAACTTTTGTAGACTGTATAAAAAAAATAAAAATCATCTCGATTCGCTCAGAATCTAAAATGAACCGAAACTTTCGCTCTAAGGTAAGGCATAATTATACAGATCAAATAGCCATGGCCTTCAGTTTTATTTTCCAAAGCCGTAATCTCTAATATGATAAATGATGTTTTTTTCAATCACATAATATATGGTACACACGTTTTGCGATGCTATTATTCAGTGGTAAATATTAATATTTTGTATACATATAACAGAAAAAATTATTAAGTACGAATAAAAAATTGATTCACTGAACATTAGGTGTTTTGGCTTACCCCTGCCACCTAAATTTGCTAATGGAAACAGACCATTTTAAATTAATATCAGGTCGTTTAAAATTATTCCATTCCTTCTGCGTAGCTCTCTAATAAAGAATAACTATGTTATTTGTTCGATTCATTTTATTTCGACGAATATTTTAAACATTGGATTCACGTTCGCCAGAGTTTGAAAAATATAGGCACTAAAACTTTAAAAGGCACTCGGGTGATTAATGAACGTGAATTTTAACAGTCGTCGAAATTACACGGAACGTTGGAAAGGTTGTAATACTTTTTTTTTTACTCGCGTGTTCTTTATTCGTTTTGGGAACGTATTATAGGTACTTGTTGACTTATAAGCAACGCGGACTTTCACGACGAGTTCTTGTCAGTATATAAGGTCGAGACGTTTTTACGCGGAGTGCTTGTCGTGCAGGTACCCCGTTTCAACTTACGAGCATAAATTACTTGAATTATTAAACCTATATTATGTCAAAACAAACTTAACAATATTGTACATAGTTCGAACCTAGTCATATTCCGAGAAATTTCACAAAATAACTCGGTATTTTTTTTAACTCCTTTCATATGATCGATTGACAATTTCAACAACTAACGAGTATAGCATGCCAACAATAATTGTATTATTACTATAATATTAAAAACGTTGACAAATATTTTAAGAAGCAAATGTTTATAAAAAAATATTGCTAAAAGATTCCATATCCGAAACCATAGTAATTAAAAATTTCATACAAATTCCATAAATTATCCTTTTGTTGAAATTATAATTTATTTCCCCGCAATGAATAATAATATTATTATAACACTCGCAGTACCGTACTGCAGCGAGTTAATGAATATTCGATTTATGAATATTAAAAAAAAAAAGGAAAGAAGACTGATATATTGTACTTCGCACCATGGGTATGCCGTTGTTTTATACAGGAAGTTAGGATAAATCATTGTTAACTATAATCGATTCTAAGGGGAAAACGGTAAAATAATTTTTTGGTAGATTTTGTATGTTGAAAATTTTAATAATTTTTAACTTTTATAACAAAATTGTATTTATAAATATTCGATAACACAATAATAGATAGGTAAATCAAAAGTTAACGTAGAACCGAGTACGTTGTTAGACAACTATTATCTGAACTAGGTACTGAGAAAGCTGTTGGCTTATGATAACATAAAAAAAAAAAAACTCGCGCTACAAATTCGCAACCCAATTTGTATAACCCGTACCCGTTTTTATTTGTCGATGTTTTCTGTTATACACTTATACCGCCTCGTATATTTGTATAATATAAAGTACGATGGTAAACACGTGATGGTCCGTATTTATAAACGCGTTTTATGTGCGAAAAAAAAATATCTATTTTTCCGATGGTGTTATAAATTGAATTAAGTAGAGGTACCTACTTAATTCAAAATACTTGACACGTAACGTTACGCGTAGGATTAAACGCTTTTTGCTCGTGGACGAAGTTTCCGAATCCCCCAAAGAATCGTACCAATTCGATTTCTATTTGACTATCGTTTGTTGCTCTGGTAATTCTAACGAGGTCGCGCGTAACGTACAAATCAATCATTTATACGGTCATACGCGAATACATCGTTTTAATAAAAAATGTGTGAAAACAATATTATAATATTCCCAGTAATTTGTTTCGAGATATCAACATCGGATCTAATTATCGGACGCACGAACGATACACATCAATATAATAATTTCTGTCGTTTTCATATTCAATTTTTTTATTCAGTTTTATTTTTTAATATTTTATGTACAAAATAAATCAATTGCAATACCAACAAAAGATGGTTACATATTTTGTTTACAGTTAGAAAATGTGAACGTGCATACATTCGAATTTACATAAGACTTATTTTCTCTCTATATATAATTTAACCGTGAACGATTTTTTTTTTTTATTTTCTTATTTAGGTTATTAAGTTCAAAATTGAAATATATAACACATTTGAAAATTAATTAGGTACCTATTTATCAAAAAAAAAAAAAATTCGAAAAATTTAAAAAAATAAACGTGAGCTCGCGTTAGACAAAATGAATGAAATTGTGTTTCAAGTAGGTAATGAAATACATGTAGGTTGTAGTAAACTTTATTTTACATTAAAAGTTTCTATGACTTTCATTTATAATCGTAGAATACGTCTGAAATTCCACGATTATAGTTATTAACGTACCTACTTATACTTATATACATAATATTCTCAAGTCAAACACAATACGTTTTATTTTGTTTCGTACGCTTGTATATATTAGGGGTCTCTATTTCACGTGTATTTAAGGACCCGTACGCACGTGTCTTTATGGAAACTGTGTTTAAGTGCTTGTGTTTGTTATAGTCCGTGTAACCGTGTACTACCCGTGCACCCGTGTAGATATTCTATATAATAAACGAATATTTTATTTTCTATTATAAAATATTAGACATTTGTTTTATTATAATAACGAGAAATTTTGCCGTATTTAATATAATTTATATTATTGTTATTATTAATTTAAAAAAAAAAAAAAATGGGTGATAAAAACTACCGAACTTTTAATACACGTGCAATTAAATACAAGTACCAAACCGAGAGCCCTACTATATATTATTATTAGGCGTTTGAAAGCGAGTACGAATATCATTATAATGTGCTAAATTGTTAAACGCCACTCGAATAATCTAGAAATATAATTGTAAAAAAATGATTTTTTTTTTTTAAAATTTAAAATGGCCAATATTGATGGTCGGTGTGCCACTGTTTTAGGGAGGAAATTGGAAGGGAGATTATAAAGAATAATTTAATGTACATTCCTACGCAA